AATGAAGAAATGACAGCTTCCATAGGTGAGATCGAGGGATAATAGCAAGGGCTCCAGGACAGACCCTTGGGGGACACCAACAACGATGGGCGAGGGAGGTGAGGTGGAGGGGTTGAAAGATAGAGGAAGTACATGAAGAGAGATAAGACTGGAGCCAGGGAAGGGGTATGTTTGAGATACCGAAACTGGAGAGGGTGGCTGAGGAAAGATCGAGAATGAGGAACGCGAAGCCAGAATGGGCAGAGTTTGTTCAATGGTTATCAAATATGTTTCATATAGGATACCGGCGCGAACAAATCTATGGACATGAGACAGAAAAAATGAGAAACAAAAAAGTAAGCACCGCATTTGATTATTTGACTTGAATAACTGCGAATCGTGACAATGCAGAGAAGAGCTGAAATGGTGAACGGTTTGAGGCCTATTTGTGAGGCTTCATGGTACAGCACCACCTACCTCAATCAATCAATCTACAGTTCTTACGATTGCATCTACGAATCCGTTTAAAATATTTATTTTAAGTGGCTGTAAATCAAATATTAATACAAAAAATTAACATGAAGTATTTGCTTTTCATTTATAGTTCAGATTGATACTTATCCATTATTTACGGCAATCTTAGGTGGACAGTAACTGCGATATAAAACAATTTAGTTTATTCATTTGTTCATCTGAGGATCTCGTTCAGCAAGTTTCCTTGCTATTTCACAACGGAGGTCCGTGGTTCGTGAGGAAAGAAGAAACAAAAACATCGAAATTTCATGCGAATTAAACTCGTGTAATGGTCCTCATTAACGGTCCCCACAACATCCGCATTCCCTACCCCCTGCACGATAAACCCTGCGCCCACTTGACCGGGAGTAACTAAGGTGATAAATATGTTGAACCTATTTTAGATCATACGATGCCAACCGTGCTAATCGGAGCTGTGGGGGAAGGGCATCTAGACACAAAAAGCAGTTTTAAAGAAATAAAGTTTCAATCTAAATTTAAAAGTGCAAAGCTCCATTAGCTTCCCAATGTCGGAAGGAAGAGCATTCCAGACGGCCGCAGAAGCGCATCTGAAAGCACGTGATGCAGTGACCGTCTTTGTTCGATGGCCAGTCAAAAGCTGCTGCGAGGATGACCAGATTTCACATGATAGTCTATGCTCCTTGAGATCAGCAGGGTATTGTGGTTCATTTGTGGCATGCACTTTGTGTAATGAGTGCGACCTTATAATGTATTCGTTCGGCAACCGGATACCAATACAGCTCGGTGAGGACTGGACAGACAGATCTTGCAGTACCCATCATGACACGTGCTGCAGCTTGGTAATGTTTTTTTTCCAGACGTCTCGTAGAGTAGTGAATTGAAATAATCGAGCCTTATCAATACTATACTACACGCCACCATGTTGGCTTTATCACGACTCAATAGTTGTCAGGTGTGTCGGAGAGGCCTGATATGAAAATTGCAGGACCGGACTATATTTTGCAAGTGCTATATTCTGGTCGAGTTTGGTGCCGAGGTTCTTTAGATTAATAGAAAACTGAATCCTCGAGACTTCGACCACCACACCTGATTCTCCCACAAATGTTTTTCCTTGAGCCTGAGTTCCAACCAGCAGAACCTCCGATTTATCTGAATTAAGCAGCATTCCGTTTCATGTGTAGTAGCAATGGTTGGGCACTGTGGATATTTCCCATTCATTTTTACCTGTAGTAGTGGACATGTGTCAATAGGGGGTGGTACACTGAATGGGTAAGATGAGTCGGGCCGTTGAGCCAATAGGACTCCCCAGACCCCACAGAGAGGGGCTGGGGGGATATTCCAGAGCCCCCTAGAGAGTTCCAGAAGGAAGGCGTGGCTAGGGGCGGAGAGACCCTGGAACGGGTATAAAAGCCAGACCCCTGGATGGGTCCGGCAGTAATCATCAAGCTGAAGACTGCTTAGGCTAGGACCCTGGGAACCCCCGGACCCGACGTTCTTCTAAGGGCCGGGACTGAGTGGGCCAGTGGTCGGGACCCGAGGACCTTAGCTGGGTCGGGTCAGCTAGCCTCCCCTAGGACCCCTTTAGCCGGAGGGCTGAGAGTACATAGTCCCAGTTGATAGGACACGCTAGCCGGAGGCTATTCCTCCACAGGTATCGGGTGGAGGGGCTGTTACTGTAATTATTGTAATAAACGTGTTGTCTCTACGAACCGTCTCGACTCTCCTTGGACCCACTACACATGCACAACTTTCGTGCAATCTTCGAGGTTACCGAGGCTCTCGATATGTAATGTTGACTTCCCTGCAGTGTATCATTTTGTCATCAGCAAATTGATGGAAATTAATGTCATGCGATACAATGACATCGGCAATCGGAGAGATCTATGTTGAAAATAGGAAGGCCTGAGGATGGACCCCTGTAGTATGCCACGTAGGCACGGCACAGGTGATGTTTGTCACCCAGCTTGACGAACTTATTGAACCCAGTGCCATACCTGATACAGCCCGCCCACACACTCACCATGGCCTCCATCCCCCGCGACTATATAATTCCTCGTCACAGCCATCTCTGAGACACGCTTAAGCGGTTGTGCTTTTGCTACGCTGTCCCCACCTGAAGGACGCTTGTGTTGCGACCGAAACGTCGGGATTTAATTTAGTTGTTTTCATTTATTTCATTTTAACCTACGTGACTTTACCGAAAAAACCAAAGAGTATACCTGATACACCTTAGCTGAGCGATGAGTATCTCATGGTCGATGGTGTCAAAAGCAGCCGAGAGATTGAGGCCAACCAATGCTGCTGCACACCGATCATCCATGATCTTGTAGAGGTTACCAGTGATCTTTAGCAGAGCTGTCTCAGTACTGTGGGACTTCATATATGCCGACTGCAACAGGTTGAATTTGCCCGTCGTTCTTAATACCACCAATTACATTGGTGGTAGGAAATACATCTCATATCAATGTGATTGGTGGTAGGAGATGCAAAGCAGTCCCAGGTTAGTAATTCTAGAATATGGCAAGTATGTGTAAATTATAAGTCCAGGTTTAAGTTTGTGAGCCATGTGATGGCTTCGGGAATAGCGTGAATACTACTGTTCAGTCTCGCCGGACAGCAGTAGAAAGGTCCATTATTGGTTCTGGTGACCCCAATTTGTGGGGCACCTATAATTTTACACTCATAGAAGAGGTGTGCGACCAGTTGCTGTTCTGAAGCAGTTGACGAAGCACCATCGTTTTCTTGGCAAATCAAAGCCATACAGAGCAGTGGTGGCGTTCCTTGATGAGGATTTTATTATGAACCTCAGCAGAACTCCGTCGTGTTCATCAGTGGTCCTCAGTTGACCCTGCTTCATCTCGTGCTTTCCCAGATTGATTTCCTGGATCTCAGACGAGTTTGTGGAGGGTCGAGCAGATATTGGTGTAATGTCAGGTCTACACTTTCGTGCATATTTTTCAGTTGGGTTTGATGGTTGTGGCACCCCGTTTAGTACTGAAGCATCGGATTGTCCGTTTCAGAATTGGCTTGTGATTTGCAGTGGTTTTTGGCGGTGTTAACTTTTAAGATTTAGTTTTATATTTTTTATGCAAAATGTAGTATAAATAAAATGACAAGATTTAAATGGGCTAAGATTGGTAATCACTGGAAATAATGGGTGTTAACATAGAAACCTTACAAAACACGTTTTGTGCAATTTAATGAGCTACGTTTAACGTGATGCTACAAAATGGGTGAACATTCAGGAATAAGATATAAAAATAATGTACACTTCTAAAGTGCCTTTCACCTGAAGATCACAAGGCGCTGTATAAAACACACACACACATGCAGGCTCACAGCAAAGAAATCAAACGACAAACAAAGAATTCAAGAGATGGAAAAAGCCTTAGGAATAAGTTTGAATAAAATGAGGGAGGCAGCAGAGCAAACGTCCAGTGGAAGTGAATTCCACAGCATGGGGGCCACACGATAAAAGGCCGGCTAACCCATCGTCCTCCAGACGTAATCTCGGCACATACACACATCAGGCCAGACTCTGAAGACCGCAGTGCTCTTGTTGGAACATATTAGGCAAAGGAGGTTCTGTATATATGAGGGAGCAGCATGATTGAGAGCCTGGTAGGTGAGAAGAATCTTGAACTCTATTTGAAACCGGACCGGCAGCTAATGGAGAGATGCCAGTGCAGGGGTAGTGTGTTCAGCAACAGGCGTGCTGTGCATAGGAATTCTGGCAGCCGCGTTCTGCACATGTTGTAGACGCCAGTTTAAGGAGGACGCCAACGAATACAGAATTACAAATGTCAATACGAGAAAAAACAAACGCATGAACCAGCTTCTCAAGTGTCCGATAGTGGAAGGATGCAGCTGGGCTATATTTTTAAGATGAAAAAACCAAGTCATAGTGATCGTCCATAGGACGTTTTTTTGGGGTTAAATTGCATAAATATAAATGTATCATTAAGCCCAACACCACTGGACAAGCCAATTAATAAGGTTTGTCACGTAAACACAACATGCCAATTAGTTAATAGTTCGGCACACCGGTGTGTTGGGGGCTAAACCCACATTTTAAAATAGAGTACGACATTTAGCCGGTAATTACAACCAGTCTCATCAGGCGACAACCAGAATTGTGAAGAAATCCTCCTATTTCGGTCTTAAATAGTGGGGGTAAATGTGGTGTCGTCACTGTGAGCTAATCAGGTGTTAATGTGTGTTTCAGAGGCATTAAGGACAACACTGACTGTAAACTGCCTGAGTAGCACCAATATTGTGGCCATCAATTGGTACAAAGACTGAATCAGTCTTAGAAAGCTGGTGTGTGGACCCAGCAAGCAACGACTCCGTCAAAATTCAACTGAAGAAAACTGGATTACATCTAAACCTTGATAGTCATGAGAGAACCTGGCAGACTAGAAACAGATGCTTGAAGGAAAGATTAATCATGAGAAGTAAAATAGCATCCACAACACAGGCATTTATGAAATGATGGAAAAGTGAATAATTACATATTACACCAAGGATGCACGTGTCAAATTATATTAGTTTAATTCATACAATTTTCATCGTTAAGTATCCATTTTTTTAACTTTGCATTTAATTACAATTAATACACGTTAGCAGCAAAACAAATGTAATACAATCACCTGCCGAAGGTAAACACTGCATGACCGACCAAAAGTGTGTCATTAAGACCCTCCACCCCCTGATGCAGTCAAAACCAATTAAATTGTAATTTGTACACTCGTTAAACGGGCGAATTAGTGTTTCAGTTCAGTGATAAGTTGAAAAATTATTCTCACAATCAAATTTAACAATTATATTGGAGGTTTCATTTGAAACTAGATGATCAGTGCAAGATCGAGGAAGTCCGATTAAAATCAAGGAAGTCAAAATAACTGTGTCTCATTAACCCAGCTTCTTAAATAGGTGTCATGACCTCGAAGGAACAACCAATCAGATATAAGCCAGATAATTAAGCATTATAAATAACTGCACTCTCCCTTAATAGTGACAAAAATGCTCGGCTGCCCCTGGCATGGCAGACAAAGCACCTGCTTTAGCTGCTGGACCTAGGAAGGGGCAGCCCCGAGTATGCACGTGGATGGGTGCACGCCTGCAGTGTCACAGCAGCATGGAATCTTATCCTCAATGCATACACACTTTTGTCTTAAATGTTCTACTTTACACGCATACTGATGCGACATGTTTGAAAGTGGCTATATTATTATCGTTAAACTGGTGTACAAAAATAATATAAAGTAATTTACTCCATCATGAGACGTTAACATTGCAAGCGATATCTCTATCGCTTTGTAAATTAGTTTGCGTAAGCATGTCGTGCAACAACTTGCTCACAGCTTAGCGCTCGCGACGTGGCCTTGGAGGCCGTCACAGACGAGCGCTGACGCTTCTCTGGCGCAGCCCCAGTGCAGCGTCACCCCGACTCCCCCGTGTCCATAGCAGTGCACCACCGTCATGCGCAGTGCCCCACACGCCAGGCATTCCCTCTCCAGGCGGACCGAGGTCCGGCTTGGCCGCAGCCCGACTCGCACGTCAACTCGCCGCGATCCCTTTAGGGAAGGCACCAGGGCGCAACACCGCTCCCATATGCCCAGGGAATCTTCCGCTATGGGCAGCAGCATACCCCAGTGACTCTGACGCGTGCCGCCAAGCGTCACGTCACGCACCCCCGGATATATGTAAGTGTGCCCATCCCCTGCACGCACAAAGTGCTTTAGCCAGGGAGCGCGCACCATTATCACTTGCCCACGCACCGGATACACTTCATTGTCTCCGAATAATGCGTGGGAGCCCAGGCCTGTGCAGTTGACAACGACGTCATACTGACCATGAAGATGCCATATATTTTCCACATGCGTCTTCTTTAGCTCTACATTTGCCGACTGCAGCCTAAAGAAAGACAAAAGTCCAAGTGATGTAATGCTTAAAAGAGCATTGAGGTGGTGCCCATCTGCTTACAGCCCTAAGCGAGTGGTAAAAATTCCAGATTCCTATGGTGGGGAGTGAGTATTCATAGGACAACTACTGTTGGCTTCCCCCACAAAGTGGTACTCATTTTATCGACACTTGCAATGTATCATTTGCAAGCCGCTTGTTCTTCCGCTGAGCTGCCTGGCACACAAACCATATACATTCTGGACAAATGCAGGTACAATATCTGATTTGGGTGGATTAAAAATAGTCCAGTGTATAAGCATATTTATGAGTATTTCACAACATGTTCAAACAAAATGTACCATTTAAGTAAAATGTGTAATATATGTGTTTTCTACCAAACTGGTAATACATTTACAATGTAAATAATTACTGAAGACATTTTAAATTGCATTGGCTTGGTACCACCGACCTCTCCCATCTTATCTCTTCTTTCCCCTCCCAGCGACTTTCTCTTATAATGCCTCAGGTTAGCCCCGTTCCATGGGACGTGGTGGTTATCTTCTCCTCTGCTGCCTCTGGGTCTCAAATTTCCTCCACCTGGACATGTGTACTGTTAAAAGACTTTCCTCTTCGTCTCTGCTTGCAGCTGACTTTTCTCAAAATATAAGATTTCACTGCTTGTCCCTCCTTTGTATAGATATTGAGTAGTAACCATAACTCGTCGTCTAGGTTGTAATGCAGCTGTTGGTACCCGGGCACGACGAGTGAATCCCCACCACTTGTGCCCTCGGAGAAGGCTCGCAAGTAGGTACGAGTTCAAAATGCGTTCCACTGTTGTGGAGCAGTGCAGCCATATTTGGGTGATTGTTATTTTCCATTTGAGGAGAAGGTGATCCCACCTGCCCTGGCCTGTTCAGATAAGATTTAAGGCAGCCGATTAGATTTCACGAGAGGCTATAACAGCATTAAAGGTTTATTTCTTCCGATGCCCCAACCCCCTTACTTTTAGAAATTATTTGTATGTTCATAAGTAAATATTCCTCCCCATTCCCCTGTCCCTACCCCTTTAATCCTACTACACCATCTAAATGCATACTCCCCCTCCCTCCATGTACAGCGTCTTGACTTTACCAGCTACATGGTTGGATTACATCGTGTGTTTTAACACTGTGGGATGTTTAGGTGTGAATTTACATGGGCTTTTGACTTGCCACAGGAATTAAAATGCATTAAATCATATTTTTTGTCATTTACTTTTAAAATTGTTTTTTGGTTTCGGGCTACTGATGAATATTTTATTTTTAATTAACACAAATTTGTATCACAAGAAACTTTGCAGAGCAGAAAAAAAAATCTGGATTTTTGTTATGTTGTGGGGCTGTCAAATAGTGACATTCAGTGCATCGGTGCTGGTCGCGCAAGTTCGTGTGTTAACCAAGTGTGGTAGCGCAAGTGCGTGTGTTAACCAAGTGTGGTAGCGCAAGTGAGTGTGTTAACCGCGTGTGGTCACGCCAAGTGCGCTGCTTACTTCTTCATCAGCCAGGGCAGGTAAAAGGAGCTCTCGCACTGCAGCGTAGTGAAGAACCAGCCGAAGGTGTGCCCCGGAAACCCAGACAGTTCCTGATCGGTCATTGCGCGGAACCCAATCACCAAGTCAGCCCAGAAAGGGAGGCGCTCCACTGGGGGCTCCCTGAACACTTCGTATCTGAAAACAAAAGAGACCACTTCACACACAGACACTCGCATCCACTGGGCACATCGTATTAACTTCATCCTAGGGCAGCAGGAAGGCACAGTGGTAACACTTGGGCCTCACAGCAAGATGTCCCTTAGATCAATTTCTTACTTGGGTGCCTTTCTGTATAGAGGAAGTAACCCCTGTTCTGCATCGGTGTCCTCCGGGTTCCCTGGTATCCTCTCATAAAAAAAACACATCCAATCTAACTGGTTTGGGTCAAACATCCCAATACTGAAAATTAACTTGGGATTACACGAAAAAACATCGTCCCCTACTGCAAAAACTTAGCAGGTCCTTCCAGAAAAAGTACTGAGACTCAGGATTCCTTGGTAAACAAGGAACATAAATTATCTTTAATAATACTTCAGAATCTTCATTTAGACTGCAGGAGGAAACCGATGAGATATGAAGCTCTTTTTCACAGATGCCCAGTATGGGTGGGTCAGCAAAATACTGACTTTGGTGTTGGTGTGGATGGCATAGTCATCAGACAAATGGAGAATACATTTTTATTTATTATGGATACTCCACAACCTTCTCAACAAACTACGGATTACAATGGAGATGTGTTCATATTGTGTATCCTATAAGTAACCCTTGGGTTTAACTAAAGTGTCTTGAGATGTGATTGTATGTAAACGCTATACGCATTCAAATTGTAGTTAAGATATTTTTGAATGGTTAAAATGATCAAAAGCTAGTGTTTCTACGGGTCAACCTAGACCATATGCTCACATATAAATACCACCTTTCCAAAGTAGCTCAGAAGATCAAGAGTGGAAACTGTTTCCTGAACAAACTGGGCGTTGAGGAAACAATAGGAAAACACAATTATCAAGGCCTGTGCTGCTATTCATCCTCAGCACCCATGGCCAGACCACTGCTGGATCAAGGCCTCTCCATGCCTATTCTTCCATTCTTCCCTTAAAATCCATCTCTTCTCCATTGCCCATTCTACTGCTACTGCTACTCCGTGCCCCTGCACCCCAGCTACGACCAGGCCTACCCCAGCCGCTCTTACAACCTTTACCCCTATCACTACCCCTACCCCTTCTTAACCACTACCACCCGTCCTCAGGTCACCATAACTACACAACCACTTTTAATAATCCCACTCCTTATTTTAACCATCATCTCACGAAGAATGTTACAACTATTTTAAAGTGCCTTGAAAGGTTCTATATGAACAATATAAGATAAGACCCCCGTGGACTTTGGATGCCAAATTCCATATCATTCCTGCGGTTAAACTGATCTCACCACTCTATCTCCATGGTGGTCATCCTCGTGGGCACGTTCTCTCCTTTGGCTGCCATCGTCACCAGTTTCATCCATCAGCCATACCTGCTAGCTATGTGTGCTGCCCAAGAACACTTATTTTCCTTTTCTAACTTTTTTTGTCGCTTTTCTCCATTTTGTAGTGACTGTGAATGTCACTGTGTGGTGCCGGGCTTGCGAAGTCACGGTGGATATGTTGCCATTATGTGCAGCCCGGTTACTGGATGTAGTACCAGCCCTAGCGGGGCTTAGGTGAGCGCTCGTCAGCGCGGAGGCACCACGTACAGTGTGCGGTGCGGGCTCCCGGTGAGGGAGCGAGAGGGAGTGTAAGCCAGCCAGGGTTACGTTGGGGCATGATACGCTGGTTGACACGTGACTGGATGATATTGGAGGGGGGCCACAGGTGGACGGGTGCCGCTGGGCAGTCACGTAGTATAAAGGAGCTCTCAGGAGCCTTCTGGAAAGAGCTGGAGAGATCTAGAAAGTGGGTGGGGCGAGGGGCGGAGCCAGCCTCAGCCCAGGCCAATATAACGGGGGCCCCGTGAGGGGCTCGGGGTTCTATGGGTTGTTGGTGAAGAAGATCCACGTCGGGTTGAAGAAGCCTCTAGCCACGCGGTCCGGGACCCAGCTCGTGGTCCGGACTGGGATAGCAAACCGTGCCTAATTCTGCCATAGTGTGGGCGTTCAACACCCAAATGTAGGTTACGTTATGTTGTGTTGAGTTGGTGAAATAAATAGTGTTGCGCCCAACACAAAATCTGCGACTCAGTTGGACTTACTACAATTTTATCCTCACTGTACTTTTGACATGATGTGAGATAAATCATCCCTTCGGAGCTCCCTCCCCTCCACCACCGCCCCCGTGTCAGAGAACGATCCGCAGAAGATAATATAACAATTATTGAGAACCCTCTAAGTGACCTTTTTGCCCACACGAGGGGGCAACACAAAGGCGTAGCTAGGGGGGGGCAGGGGGGTACATATGTCCCCGGGCGCCCAGCTAAAGGGGCGCCAAAATTAGGCTTACAACGTTACATTATAACTTATTGCGGCGGGCGCGGCAGCCTGAAACTACTGCACAAATCTACACCTAAACCTAAAAGTTTATATATCCTGCCACACACAGCCTACATGTCATGTAATTACATTTTGGTATGTGATTAAACGGGGGGGGGGGGGGGGGGGGGGGGGGGCGCCAATTTTATAGTTCGTCCCCGGGCGCAAAATATCCTAGCTACGCCACTGGGGCAACACTCTCCCAATCACCAAATGAAGCACAAAACAGAATTCTATACGATATTGTTTGTGCAGCATTGTTGACCAGGCCAAGACCATCAACTTACTATATCTTGATTTGAAGCTTTCGTGACTGCAGGAATCCATACTCTTTGGTTCTTTCGGTAAAGTCACGTAGGTAAAATAAAATAAATCACGAATCTGGGTGGTCTAGCAGCCGAAGGTTTTAGGGAGCTCTGCTTGGTCTGATCAATTAGAGAAGTCGATTTAGTGATGATATTGTTGATTTTGTGGCTAGGCAGTTGGTGGGATCTCTGTTGATTTTGGTATAGCTGCAATCATTAAGGTCCTGAATTTTGTTGTTGTAAGTGGTTTTATCCATGATGACAGTGGCATTGCCCTTGTCGGCTGAGAGGATGACAATGCCATCTCGAATCGATCAGACCAAGCAGAGCTCCCTAAAACCTTCGGCTGCTAGACCACCCAGATTCGTGATTTATTTTATTTTACCTACGTGATTTTACCGAAAGAACCAAAGAGTATAACTTACTATATGTGAGAATCAGGGAACTGTGCAGATTAACTGCTACCCAGGCTCTCAGCAGCATCACCTCTGATCCACCCAGCCACTTCACGCCCTTACATTCCTTAACCGTCAATATCACGTCCTTATTTTACATTGATATCTGACTTATGCATTCATTTTCTGTATTTCAGTGCAATTACCAACATAAATCTCCGCATGCCTCTTTGTGTACTTTTCACACTTTGTATTTTCTTTGTCAGTGTCCGTGTATCTGACCCGTTTGTCATACCAGGTAAAGTGCACTCATTGAAAACTTCTTCATTAAGCACAATGGTTTGTTGATTTTCATAGGCTCTACATCTTGCTCACATTCACCTCTTTATTTCATCTTTTGATTACAATCTGCCTTTATGAATTGCTCTTAGTGTACATATTTTATAGTGTTTCCAGTAGCATCCCTCTAATAATGATTTTTTCTATTAGTGACTGTCGGACGTGTCTTTTGTTTTGCTTATATTTCGCTTCAACCTGACTGCAGCCTTGGTCTCCAATCATGTCCTTTTTCTGCCATAGACTGCATATATGTCAAGCCAATGCTAGAAAAATATAATGAATACCAAATACAGGCAGTCCCGGACTTACGAACATCCGACTTACGAACACCAACTTCTATGAAACATTATTTTTGACATCGACTTAAAACGCAAACTCGCACTAGCAAACTGAACCGCGGAACTATTTTGTTCAGCGGAGCGATCCTCCGCGAGATTTAATGAGTCAGCCTAGCGCTGGGAGTCTGTGTGTGTGTGTGTACATGTGTGTGTGTGTGGGGAGCGGCGACCCGAGTTCGATCTCGCTCACGGCCAACACCAGTGACGACTCAGCCTCAAATGTGTACCTGGTGCGGCCGGGCGTAGTGCTGGCCACCCACCCCCTTGTGTGCCGTGCTGGCCTTTATAGGTGCTTGCTAATAGCACTTGCCCCAATAGTCTGTTAAGGCTATACTGGGGACCTTTGTATTTGTTTACCCCCATGTGTGTGCAATTGGGGTGGCTCATTGCGCCCCTTCCGACAAGCAAGCCAGCATCAGGACTCAAGGGAAGTGGAAATAAAACAGATTTTTTTATATTTATATCACTTTGTTTCATATTTTATTTACTATACAATATTTATTACATGCAAGTGTACCATATTTCTTATTTATGAGTTTTACGATACTTCCCTTTTTTGTTCGGTCATAACACATTTAATAACACTGACCATATGTGCATTTAAATACAGTACATTATTGTGTTCCGACTTACGAACTGGGCTTACAGGAATAGAATCCGTTTGTAAGTTACATCTTGGAGATTACGAAACAATAATTGTTTTAGTGGAAACTGAAGCTCTCATTCAAGCTCTCACAAACCAATGCCTAAATATAAATACGAGACTGTGAAGCATTGCACTATATTGCTTTTAACATCTTGCTAATACAGTGAGGGAAAAAAGTATTTGATCCCCTGCTGATTTTGTACGTTTGCCCACTGACAAAGAAATGATCAGTCTATCATTTTAATGGTAGGTTTATTTGAACAGTGAGAGACAGATTAACAACAAAAAAATCCAGAAAAACGCATATCAAAAATGTTATAAATTGATTTGCATTTTAATGAGGGAAATAAGTATTTGACCCCCTCTCAATCAGAAAGAGATTAGGAGGACACTCTTAAAGGGAGTGCACCTAATCTCAGCTTGTTATCTGTATAAAAGACACATGTTCACAGAAGCAATCAATCAATCAGATTCCAAACTCTCCACCATGGCCAAGACCAAAGAGCTCTCCAAGGATGTCAGGGACAAGATTGTAGACCTACACAAGGCTGGAATGGGCTACAAGGCCATCGCCAAGCAGCTTGGTGAGAAGGTGACAACAGTTGGTGCGATTATTCGCAAATGGAAGAAACACAAAATAACTGTCAATCTCCCTCGGCCTGGGGCTCCATGCAAGATCTCACCTCGTGGAGTTGCAATGATCATGAGAACGGTGAGGAATCAGCCCAGAACTACACTGGAGGATCTTGTCAATGATCTCAAGGCAGCTGGGACCATAGTCACCAAGAAAACAGTTGGTAACACACTACGCCGTGAAGGACTGAAATCCTGCAGCGCCCGCAAGGTCCCCCTGCTCAAGAAAGCACATATACATGCCCGTCTGAAGTTTGCCAATGAACATCTGAATGATTCAGAGGACAACTGGGTGAAAGTGTTGTGGTCAGATGAGACCAAAATGGAGCTCTTTGGTATCAACTCAACTCGCCGTGTTTGGAGAAGGAGGAATGCTGCCGATGACCCCAAGAACACCATCCCAACCGTCAAACATGGAGGTGGAAACATTATGCTTTGGGGGTGTTTTTCTGCTATGGGGACAGGACAACTTCACCGCATCAAAGGGATGATGGATGGGGCCATGTACCGTCAAATCTTGGGTGAGAACCTCCTTCCCTCAGCGAGGGCATTGAAAATGGGTCGTGGATGGGTTTTCCAGAATGACAATGACCCAAAACACACGGCCAAGGCAACAAAGGAGTGGCTCAAGAAGAAGCACATTCAGGTCCTGGAGTGGCCTAGCCAGTCTCCAGACCTTAATCCCATAGAAAATCTGTGGAGGGAGCTGAAGGTTCGAGTTGCCAAACGTCAGCCTCGAAACCTTAATGACTTGGAGAAGATCTTCAAAGAGGAGTGGGACAAAATCCCTCCTGAGATGTGTGCAAACCTGGTGGCCAACTACAAGAAACGTCTGACCTCTGTGATTGCCAACAAGGGTTTTGCCACCAAGTACTAAGTCATGTTTTGCAGAGGGGTCAAATACTTATTTCCCTGATTAAAATGCAAATCAATTCATAACATTTTTGACATGCGTTTTTCTGGATTTTGTTGTTGCTATTCTGTCTCTCACTGTTCAAATAAACCTACCATTAAAATTGTAGACTGATCATTTCTTTGTCAGTGGGCAAACGTACAAAATCAGCAGGGGATAAAATACTTTTTCCCTCACTGTACACTGTGTACATTTATACTTGCATTATTCACATGGTTATTTTTCCATTACTGGTGACTGCATTGAAAAAAATTGTAAAACCACTTTTCCACACAAATAGAAACATATAACAACATGAATAACGTGTTTTACCTTTAAAATAAACGGGCAGAGCTGTCAGCAGTGTAATGGTTAGCACAGGTGCAAGTTGCTGGTTCGCTTCCATCTCCAAGCGCGGGAATTAAAACAATGGTTCAAGTTTCTTAAATCCCTCCACCTCTGTCCACCGAGCAGTGTAAATGGATTCACCACAGTCGATCAGCAGGTCATGTGTGGTGGGGTAAAGTGTGGGAATGCCTACCTTTTCCAAGACATCTGGTCAGTGTGGAAGAGTAGACAAAATACCCTCTAGAGCTCCCTCTGGCATCAGCAAACAATTGCAGGGTTGTACCTTTACCTTTTAACAGAGAAACGAGGGAAATTGTACCATGCTGTGACTTGAACCACTGTGCCGTTTATACATTCGCGTGTGTCAATCGGTACATTCATTAAGAACATTCTAGTGGAAACAGTGACGGCTTCCTGACCTTTGGAACCAGCAATCGATTATGAAAACGGTTACCGGTTGTCGTTTACTGACTGTATTTTACATGCACGTGTCGGAGCATACATGGGAATATTTACCCTGACACAAGCTGAACACCGATGGAGGGAGCGTCATCTCGCCGTGCAAGTCCCAGAACGTGCTCAAATGTCTCCTTGAACCAGTAGCGTAGCGTGTCTGTGGGAGTGCCTGTTGGGAGGGGGGGCGATAGTGTAGCGGTTAGCGCGCTGCGCTATGAACCCGTCGACACGGGTTCGATTTCCACTCACGGCCAACACCAGTGACGATTATATGAACTGGTCCCGGGCCTCCCCTAGGTCGAATAAACCTCACATGAGTACCTGGTGCGGTGTGTAAACATTGCCGAGGGAAACAAAGGCAGTCGGGCGTGTCGCTGGCCACCCACCCCCTCGTGTACCGTTCCGGCCTTCATAGGTGCTCGCTAACAGCACTTGTCCCTACAGTCTGTTAAGGCTATATGGGGGATCTTTGTTGGGAGGAGGGGGTGGCAGCACACCACAAACGTAACACACGGGCAGCTGCTGGTGACACCAGGGCCCTGCTGTGGCCGACGGCCTCTTCGTGGCCGACGGCCTCTTCGTGGCCAGGAAGTCTTAAGCGCTCGGACTCTCCTTCAATGGAAATCATCTCTTTTTAGTCCCTTATAAAATCCTCAGTGGATTCTTTCAAAACAGCTGCCCTTTTTGACCTGTCACAAAACAGCGCTGAAGTAGGAAGGTGTGGCTCTCAAATATTACACCCAGCCAAGATGAGGGTGAATGTCAAAGGCAGACAGAAATATGCAACGTCTGTCTCTGAGATACAGTATCTCCCACACGATCAACCCACATCACCGAACTCGACTACCACAGGGAAAAGATAAATAACTCAGAGCCCATCCGGTTTTCTGCGGAAACCTGTAGAGTGCAACAGTGGCGTAGCTAGGATATTTTGCGCCCGGGGACGAACTATAAAATTGGCGCCCCCCCCCGTTTAATCACATACCAAAATGTAATTACATGACATGTAGGCTGTGTGTGGCGGGATATATAAACTTTTAGGTTGAGGTGTAGATTTGTGCAGTAGTTTCAGGCTGCCGCGCCCGCCGCAATAAGTTATAATGTAACGTTGTAAGCCTAATTTTGGCGCCCCTTTACCTGGGCGCCCGGGGACATATGTACCCCCCTGCCCCCCCTAGCTACGCCTCTGGAGTGCAATGCTATCCCATACCGTGTACATCCTACATGGGCGTCACTCATCGGTGATGCAGGGTGCATGTTGTAAACTCCACGTGTTGGAATTAAAGCTTGCGTGTGGGTGCTGTGTTACTTTGCGGGGGGGGGGATGTCTGCTGATAAGGACATACCAGGTATTGTACTTGGGTGTAATATGCCAGCTGCCACATCGCTAGTGGTGTCAGGACTGAAGTTATCAGCCAGCACAGAGATGTGGGCGTGCGGCATTGATCGGGAAATGCAGAGTGCGGTGGACAGCCCCATCACTCCTGCACCGAGCACACACACTCGTGGTCCATCTCCATGCCGTCTGCACCACCCACACGCACGCACAAGAACATCTTACGAGGATGAGTCTCGGATAATACGCAGTGTCTAAATAAAGTTCCACCTTTATAAATAGCCATCATACTAAAATTAATGGCATCTTTCAGAGCACAGAGCTGTCTTTTTTTAAACCTGGTCAGGTCTCGAGAGGAGGGCGTTGCTGCTCTGCTTGTGTGTAGAGCATGACTTGTGTTCAGTGCTCCGGATAACTGCACCACTCTGTATCAACTGTGGCAGTGACGTGGCCCAGTGGTAGCGCATTCGCCGCTTGTTTTTATCAACTAATAAAAACTATATATATAAAAAAATATTTTACCAGGAAAGGCCCACTGAGCTACATACAGTGAGGGAAATAAGTATTTGATCCCTTGCTGATTTTGTACGTTTGCCCACTGACAAAGAAATTATCAGTCTATAATTTTAATGGTAGGTTTATTTGAACAGTGAGAGACAGAATGACAACAAAAAAATCCAGAAAAACGCATGTCAAAAATGTTATAAATTGATTTGCATTTTAATGAGGGAAATAAGCAGGGGCGGTTTCTTCATTAGGGCGATTGGGCGACGCACCACCAATGTCATTGAACCACAGAGTCACGCTAGCCGTCACTGCAGCCTGCTTGCGTTGTGGCCGAAACGTCGTGAGAATAATTTTATTATGTTTTATTTTTATTATTTTATTACTTCCCTTCTACGTGACTTTACCGAAAGAACCAAGAAGATGAATCCCTGCAGTCACGAAAGTTTTAAATCAAAATCTAGTGGAATCTTTAATAAAATAAACTTGAGTGGTTTGTTTTAATAATGAGTATAGAAACAAACAAGATGTATTGTAAGAGTCACTTTATTTTTCATTAATATTAAAGAAGTGAAGTTGCCTTTACATGCTTAAGCTGTTAATTTATCCATTGCATGGGTGGACCTTATCCTTATCAATCATCCAGACATTTGCCCCCCCTGAGAGATTTTGCAGGAGCCGCCACTGGTGCTGAACCACATAATACTGCACAGGGGCAGCTGCCACCGGGGGGTGCCTTTTCGATTAAGCGCGTACGGTTTATCCGATATGCGGATTAACTGCGTACATGAGCTTATGACAACAAATATAGGTCATGGATTATGCAAAGTTATTCTTGGAAATGTTTATTAAGTCACGTGCTTAAACCGAACAAAAATGTTCTCCGGTTAATCCTAAATCCACGTGATCCCCGCTACAGTAGAGTAGTTGCAATATATTTACAACAGTGGCCGGAGTTTAATTGACGTTGATTGGCGTGGCTCTGCTGCTGTCCACTTCGTGGGCCGAGTCTTCTTCGGAGGGGGAGCAGGGAAGTGTTACAATCACTGAGCACGCGGACCGATCGGTCGATCGATCGGACATTCGTAGTTTTGGGCATCGAGATTCTGTGGGAATTGTTTTTATTTTTGGATCTGCGATCGACAATCATACTGTAAATGCAAAGATTACGATTGTCATTATTATCCCTGGCCCTCCATAGCAAGGGTTGGTGGATCGCACAAATGTTATGAAACTCACTACATTGTAAACGTTGCCAGTTACGACTGTATATCTTACACATAATTGCATATTTGTTGAAAAGCGCCTTAGAATAATCTAATCTATATAAGATACGATACAGTGAAATGTCTTAACTACAATTCACTGGATCGTATCACTCAAGTAGCTTTCATGTCAGCATACCGCGAGTTGGCACAACGGATGTGTTTGACCATATAAACAGCTGTGTTATTGCCAGCACGGGTAAAGCCTATTCTTATATTTCTCACTCACCCTCTCACCCACCCTCACCCTCTCACCCACCCTCACCCTCTCACCCACCCTCACCCTCTCACCCAGCCTCACCCTCTCACCCAGCCTCACCCTCTCACCCACCCTCACCCTCTCACCCATCCTCACCCTCTAACCCATCCTCACCCGCTCACCCACCCTCACCATCTCACCCACCCTCACCCTCTCACCCTCTCACCCACCCTCTCACACATCCTCACCCTCTCACCCACCCTCACCCTCTCACCCATCCTCACCCTCTCACCCACCCTCACCCTCTCACCCCCCTGACCCACCCTCACCCTCTCACCCACTCTCACCCTCTCACCCATCCTCTCACCCATCCTCACCCTCTCACCCATCCTCACCCACCCTCACCCTCTCACCCAACCTCACCCACCCTCACCCTCTCACCCACCCTCACCCTCTCACCCATCCTCACCCATCCTGACCCTCTTACCCACCCTCACCCTCTCACCCACCCTCACCCTCTCACCCACCCTCTCACCCACCCTCACCCTCTCACCCACCCTCACCCTCTCACCCATCCTCACCCTCTCACCCACCCTCACCCTCTTACCCATCCTCACCCACCCTCACCCTCTCACCCACCCTCACCCTCTCACCCATCCTCACCCTCTCACCCACCCTCACCCACCCTCACCCTCTCACCCACCCTCACCCACCCTCACCCTCTCACCCTCTCACCCTCCCTCACCCTCTCACCTATCCTCACCCTCTCACCCACCCTCACCCTCTCACCCACACTCACCCAGCCTCACCCTCTCACCCACCCTCACCCTCTCACCCACCCTCACCCTCTCACCTACCCTCACCCTCTCACCCACCCTCACCCTCTCACCCACCCTCACCCTCTCACCCACCCTCACCCTCTCACCCACCCTCCCCCTCTCACCCACCCTCACCCTCTCACCCTCTCACCCACCCTCACCCTCTCACCCACCCTCACCTTCTCACCCATCCTCACCCAGCCTCACCCTCTCACCCAGCCTCACCCTCTCACCCACCCTCACCCTCTCACCCACCCTCACCCTCTCACCCATCCTCACCCTCTCACCCACCCTCACCCTCTCACCCACCCTCACCCACCCTAACCCACCCTCACCCTCTCACCCTCCCTCACCCTCTCACCCATCCTTACCCTCTCACCCACCCTCACCCTCTCACCCCCCCTGACCCACCCTCACCCTCTCACCCACCCTCACCCTCTCACCTATCCTCTCACCCATCCTCACCCTCTCACCCACCCTCACCCTCTCACCCATCCTCACCCACCCTCACCCTCTCACCCAACCTCACCCACCCTCACCCTCTCACCCATCCTCACCCATCCTGACCCTCTTACCCACCCTCACCCTCTCACCCACCCTCACCCTCTCACCCACCCTCACCCTCTCACCCACCCTCACCCTCTCACCCTCTCACCCACCCTCACCCTCTCACCCATCCTCACCCTCTCACCCACCCTCACCCTCTCACCCATCCTCACCCTCTCACCCATCCTCACCCACCCTCACCCTCTCACCCACCCTCACCCTCTCACCCATCCTCACCCTCTCACCCACCCTCACCCACCCTCACCCTCTCACCCTCCCTCACCCTCTCACCCACCCTCACCCTCTCACCCACCCTCACCCTCTCACCCACCCTCACCCACCCTCACCCTCTCACCCTCCCTCACCCTCTCACCCACCCTCACCCTCTCACCCACCCTCACCCTCCCACCCACACTCACCCAGCCTCACCCTCTCACCCACCCTCACCCTCTCACCCACCCTCACCCTCTCACCTACCCTCACCCTCTCACCCACCCTCACCCTCTCACCTACCCTCACCCTCTCACCCACCCTCACCCTCTCACCCACCCTCACCCTCTCACCCACCCTCACCCTCTCACCCTCTCACCCACCCTCACCCTCTCACCCATCCTCACCCTCTCACCCACCCTCACCTTCTCACCCATCCTCACCCACCCTCACCCTCTCACCCACCCTCACCCTCTCACCCACCCTCACCCTCTCACCCACCCTCACCCTCTCACCCACCCTCACCCTCTCACCCATCCTCACCCTCTCACCCACCCTCACCCTCTCACCCACCCTCACCCTCTCACCCACCCTCACCCTCTCACCCTCCCTCACCCTCTAACCCGTCCTCACCCTCTCACCCACCTTCACCCTCTCACCCACCCTCACCCTCTCACCCACCCTCACCCTCTCACCCTCTCACCCACCCTCACCCACCCTCACCCATCCTCACCCTCTCACCCACCCTCTTACCCATCCTCACCCACCCTCACCCTCTCACCCATGCTCACCCTCTCACCCATCCTCACCCTCTCACCCACCCTCACCCACCCTCACCCTCTCACCCACCCTCACCCACCCTCACCCTCTCACCCTCCCTCACCCTCTCACCCACCCTCACCCTCTCACCCACCCTCACCCTCTCACCCAGCCTCACCCTCTCACCCACCCTCACCCTCTCACCCACCCTCACCCTCTCACCTACCCTCACCCTCTCACCCACCGTCACCCTCTCACCCACCCTGACCCTCTCACCCACCCTCACCCTCTCACCCACATTCACCCTCTCACCAATCCTCACCCACCCTCACCCTCTCACCCACCCTCACCCACCCTCTCCCTCTCACCCACCCTCACCCACCCTCACCCTCTCACCCATCCTCACCCAACTTCACCCTCTCACCCACCCTCACCCACCCTCACCCATCCTCACCCTCTCACCCACCCTCACCCACCCTCACCCACCCTCACCCATCCTCACCCTCTCACCCACCCTCACCCTCTCACCCATCCTCACCCTCTCACCCATCCTCACCTATCCTCACCTATCCTCACCCTCCCTCACCCTCTCACCCAACCTCACCCTCTCACCCATCCTCACCCATCCTCACCCACCCTCACCCATCCTCACCCACCCTCACCCATCCTCACCCACCCTCACCCACCCTCACCCTCTCACCTACACTCACCCACACTCACTCACCCCGCCTGAGGCATGCCCGTGGATCCACGCTCCATTACAGCTGCGATCCTTGAGCTATAATTTCCCCTCTCGCGCCACTCCCCCTGCCCCTCTGGCGCCACTCCCCCTGCCCCTCTCGCCTCTGGCGCCACTCCCCCTGCCCCTCTGGCGCCACTCCCCCTCCCCCTCTCGTGCCACTCACCCTGCCCCTCTCGCGCCACTCCCCCTGCCCATCTCGCGCCACTCCCCCTGCCCTTCTCGTGCCACTCCCCCTGCCCCTCCCACCTCTCGCGCCACTCCCCCTGCCCCTCTCGCGCCACTCCCCCTGCCCCTCTGGCGCCACTCACCCTGCCCCTCCCCCCTCTCGCGCCACTCCCCCTCCCCCTCTCGCGCCACTCCCCCTGCCCCTCTCGCGCCACTCCCCCTGCCCCTCTCGCGCCACTCCCCCTGCCCATCTCGCGCCACTCCCCCTGCCCTTCTCGTGCCACTCCCCCTGCCCCTCCCACCTCTCGCGCCACTCCCCCTGCCCCTCTCGCGCCACTCCCCCTGCCCCTCTGGCGCCACTCACCCTGCCCCTCCCACCTCTCGCGCCACTCCCCTCCCCCTCTCGCGCCACTCCCCCTGCCCCTCTCGCGCCACTCCCCCTGCCCCTCTCGCGCCACTCCCCCTGCCCATCTCGCGCCACTCCCCCTGCCCTTCTCGTGCCACTCCCCCTGCCCCTCCCACCTCTCGCGCCACTCCCCCTCCCCCTCTCGCGCCACTCCCCCTGCCCCTCTGGCGCCACTCACCCTGCCCCTCCCACCTCTCGCGCCACTCCCCCTCCCCATCTCGCGCCACTCCCCCTGCCCCTCTCGCGCCACTCCCCCTGCCCCTCTGGCGCCACTCACCCTGCCCCTCTCGCCTCTCGCGCCACTCCCCCTCCCCCTCTCGTGCCACTCCCCCTGCCCCTCTGGCGCCACTCACCCTGCCCCTCCCACCTCTCGCGCCACTCCCCCTCCCCCTCTCGCGCCACTCCCCCTGCCCCTCTCGCGCCACTCCCCCTGCCCCTCTGGCGCCACTCACCCTGCCCCTCTCGTGCCACTCCCCCTGCCCCTCTCGCGCCACTCCCCCTGCCCCTCTCGCGCCACTCCCCCTGCCCCTCTGGCGCCACTCACCCTGCCCCTCTCGTGCCACTCCCCCTGCCCCTCTCGCGCCACTCCCCCTGCCCCTCTGGCGCCACTCACCCTGCCCCTCCCACCTCTCGCGCCACTCCCCCTCCCCCTCTCGCGCCACTCCCCCTGCCCCTCTGGCGCCACTCACCCTGCCCCTCCCACCTCTCGCGCCACTCCCCCTCCCCCTCTCGCGCCACTCCCCCTGCCCCTCTCGCGCCACTCCCCCTGCCCCTCTGGCGCCACTCACCCTGCCCCTCTCGTGCCACTCCCCCTGCCCCTCTCGCGCCACTCCCCCTGCCCTTCTCGTGCCACTCCCCCTGCCCCTCCCACCTCTCGCGCCACTCCCCCTGCCCCTCTGGCGCCACTCCCCCTCCCCCTCTCGTGCCACTCACCCTGCCCCTCTCGCGCCACTCCCCCTCCCCCTCTCGTGCCACTCACCCTGCCCCTCTGGCGCCACTCCCCCTGCCCTTCTCGTGCCACTCCCCCTGCCCCTCCCACCTCTCGCGCCACTCCCCCTGCCCCTCTGGCGCCACTCCCCCTCCCCCTCTCGTGCCACTCACCCTGCCCCTCTGGCGCCACTCCCCCTCCCCCTCTCGTGCCACTCACCCTGCCCCTCTGGCGCCACTCCCCCTGCCCATCTCGCGCCACTCCCCCTGCCCCTCCCACCTCTCGCGCCACTCCCCCTCCCCCTCTCGCGCCACTCCCCCTGCCCCTCTCCCCTCTCGCGCCACTCCCCCTGCCCCTCTCCCCTCTCGCGCCACTCACCCTGCCCCTCCCACCTCTCGTGCCACTCACCCTGCCCCTCTGGCGCCACTCCCCCTCCCCCTCTCGTGCCACTCACCCTGCCCCTCTGGCGCCACTCCCCCTCCCCCTCTCGTGCCACTCACCCTGTCCCTCTGGCGCCACTCCCCCTGCCCATCTCGCGCCACTCCCCCTGCCCCTCCCACCTCTCGCGCCACTCCCCCTCCCCCTCTCGCGCCACTCCCCCTGCCCCTCTCCCCTCTCGCGCCACTCCCCCTCCCCCTCTCGCGCCACTCCCCCTGCCCCTCTCCCCCTCTCGCGCCACTCCCCCTGCCCCTCTCCCCTCTCGCGCCACTCACCCTGCCCCTCCCACCTCTCGTGCCACTCACCCTGCCCCTCTGGCGCCACTCCCCCTCCCCCTCTCGTGCCACTCACCCTGCCCCTCTGGCGCCACTCCCCCTGCCCTTCTCGTGCCACTCCCCCTGCCCCTCCCACCTCTCGCGCCACTCCCCCTGCCCCTCTGGCGCCACTCCCCCTCCCCCTCTCGTGCCACTCACCCTGCCCCTCTGGCGCCACTCCCCCTCCCCCTCTCGTGCCACTCACCCTGCCCCTCTGGCGCCACTCCCCCTGCCCCTCTCGCGCCACTCCCCCTGCCCCTCCCCCCTCTCGCGCCACTCCCCCTCCCCCTCTCGCGCCACTCCCCCTGCCCCTCTCCCCTCTCGCGCCACTCCCCCTGCCCCTCTCCCCTCTCGCGCCACTCACCCTGCCCCTCCCACCTCTCGTGCCACTCACCCTGCCCCTCTGGCGCCACTCCCCCTCCCCCTCTCGTGCCACTCACCCTGCCCCTCTGGCGCCACTCCCCCTGCCCTTCTCGTGCCACTCACCCTGCCCCTCTGGCGCCACTCACCCTGCCCCTCTCGTGCCACTCCCCCTGCCCATCTGGCGCCACTCCCCCTCCCCCTCTCGCGCCACTCCCCCTGCCCCTCTGGCGCCACTCCCCCCTCCCCCTCTCGCGCCACTCCCCCTGCCCATCTCGCGCCACTCCCCCTGCCCTTCTCGTGCCACTCCCCCTGCCCTTCTCGTGCCACTCCCCCTGCCCCTCCCACCTCTCGCGCCACTCCCCCTGCCCCTCTCGCGCCACTCCCCCTGCCCGGCTGGCGCCACTCCCCCTCCCCCTCTCGCGCCACTCCCCCTGCCCCTCTGGCGCCACTCCCCCTCCCCCTCTCGCGCCACTCCCCCTGCCCATCTCGCGCCACTCCCCCTCCCCCTCTCGCGCCACTCCCCCTGCCCCTCTGGCGCCACTCCCCCTCCCCCTCTCGCGCCACTCCCCCTGCCCATCTCGCGCCACTCCCCCTGCCCTTCTCGTGCCACTCACCCTGCCCCTCCCACCTCTCGCGCCACTCCCCCTGCCCCTCTCGCGCCACTCCCCCTGCCCGGCTGGCGCCACTCCCCCTCCCCCTCTCGCGCCACTCCCCCTGCCCCTCTGGTGCCACTCCCCTTCCCCCTCTCGCGCCACTCCCCCTGCCCCTCTGGCGCCACTCCCCCTCCCCCTCTCGCGCCGCTCCCCCTGCCCATCTCGCGCCACTCCCCCTGCCCTTCTCGTGCAACTCCCCCTGCCCCTCCCACCTCTCGCGCCACTCCCCCTGCCCATCTCGCGCCACTCCCCCTGCCCTTCTCGTGCCACTCCCCCTGCCCCTCCCACCTCTCGCGCCACTCCCCCTGCCCCTCTCGCGCCACTCCCCCTGCCCCTCTCGCGCCACTCCCCCTGCCCCTCTGGCGCCACTCACCCTGCCCCTCTCGTGCCACTCCCCCTGCCCCTCTCGCGCCACTCCCCCTGCCCCTCTGGCGCCACTCACCCTGCCCCTCCCACCTCTCGCGCCACTCCCCCTCCCCCTCTCGCGCCACTCCCCCTGCCCCTCTGGCGCCACTCACCCTGCCCCTCCCACCTCTCGCGCCACTCCCCCCCCCCCTCTCGCGCCACTCCCCCTGCCCCTCTCGCGCCACTCCCCCTGCCCCTCTGGCGCCACTCACCCTGCCCCTCTCGTGCCACTCCCCCTGCCCCTCTCGCGCCACTCCCCCTGCCCTTCTCGTGCCACTCCCCCTGCCCCTCCCACCTCTCGCGCCACTCCCCCTGCCCCTCTGGCGCCACTCCCCCTCCCCCTCTCGTGCCACTCACCCTGCCCCTCTGGCGCCACTCCCCCTCCCCCTCTCGTGCCACTCACCCTGCCCCTCTGGCGCCACTCCCCCTGCGCTTCTCGTGCCACTCCCCCTGCCCCTCCCACCTCTCGCGCCACTCCCCCTGCCCCTCTGGCGCCACTCCCCCTCCCCCTCTCGTGCCACTCACCCTGCCCCTCTGGCGCCACTCCCCCTCCCCCTCTCGTGCCACTCACCCTGCCCCTCTGGCGCCACTCCCCCTCCCCCTCTCGCGCCACTCCCCCTGCCCCTCTCCCCTCTCGCGCCACTCCCCCTGCCCCTCTCCCCTCTCGCGCCACTCACCCTGCCCCTCCCACCTCTCGTGCCACTCACCCTGCCCCTCTGGCGCCACTCCCCCTCCCCCTCTCGTGCCACTCACCCTGCCCCTCTGGCGCCACTCCCCCTCCCCCTCTCGTGCCACTCACCCTGCCCCTCTGGCGCCACTCCCCCTGCCCATCTCGCGCCACTCCCCCTGCCCCTCTCCCCTCTCGCGCCACTCCCCCTGCCCCTCTCCCCTCTCGCGCCACTCACCCTGCCCCTCCCACCTCTCGTGCCACTCACCCTGCCCCTCTGGCGCCACTCCCCCTCCCCCTCTCGTGCCACTCACCCTGCCCCTCTGGCGCCACTCCCCCTGCCCTTCTCGTGCCACTCCCCCTGCCCCTCCCACCTCTCGCGCCACTCCCCCTGCCCCTCTGGCGCCACTCCCCCTCCCCCTCTCGTGCCACTCACCCTGCCCCTCTGGCGCCGCTCCCCCTCCCCCTCTCGCGCCACTCACCCTGCCCCTCTGGCGCCACTCCCCCTGCCCATCTCGCGCCACTCCCCCTGCCCCTCCCACCTCTCGCGCCACTCCCCCTCCCCCTTTCGCGCCACTCCCCCTGCCCCTCTCCCCTCTCGCGCCACTCCCCCTGCCCCTCTCCCCTCTCGCGCCACTCACCCTGCCCCTCCCACCTCTCGTGCCACTCACCCTGCCCCTCTGGCGCCACTCCCCCTCCCCCTCTCGTGCCACTCACCCTGCCCCTCTGGCGCCACTCACCCTGCCCCTCTCGTGCCACTCCCCCTGCCCATCTGGCGCCACTCCCCCTCCCCCTCTCGCGCCACTCCCCCTGCCCCTCTGGCGCCACTCCCCCTCCCCCTCTCGCGCCACTCCCCCTGCCCATCTCGCGCCACTCCCCCTGCCCCTCTCGCGCCACTCCCCCTGCCCGGCTGGCGCCACTCCCCCTCCCCCTCTCGCGCCACTCCCCCTGCCCCTCTGGCGCCACTCACCCTCCCCCTCTCGCGCCACTCCCCCTGCCCATCTCGCGCCACTCCCCCTCCCCCTCTCGCGCCACTCCCCCTGCCCCTCTGGCGCCACTCCCCCTCCCCCTCTCGCGCCACTCCCCCTGCCCATCTCGCGCCACTCCCCCTGCCCTTCTCGTGCCACTCACCCTGCCCCTCCCACCTCTCGCGCCACTCCCCCTGCCCCTCTCGCGCCACTCCCCCTGCCCGGCTGGCGCCACTCCCCCTCCCCCTCTCGCGCCACTCCCCCTGCCCCTCTGGTGCCACTCCCCCTCCCCCTCTCGCGCCACTCCCCCTGCCCCTCTAGCGCCACTCCCCCTCCCCCTCTCGCGCCACTCCCCCTGCCCATCTCGCGCCACTCCCCCTGCCCTTCTCGTGCCACTCCCCCTGCCCCTCCCACCTCTCGCGCCACTCCCCCTGCCCATCTCGCACCACTCCCCCTGCCCTTCTCGTGCCACTCCCCCTGCCCCTCCCACCTCTCGCGCCACTCCCCCTGCCCCTCTCGCGCCACTCCCCCTGCCCGGCTGGCGCCACTCCCCCTGCCCCTCCCACCTCGTGCCACTCCCCCTGCCCCTCTCCCTTCTAGCACCAATGTCCCCGTCTGAAAAGATCAGATTTAAAACATAATTTGTTTTTGTTATTCACAGCAGAGCAATGCAAATATCAAAAGCAATGTTTAGTATTGGAGAATATTGCGAATTATTAATATTTAATACAGCAGAAAATAATCAAAAGGCTCAGAGAAGACTTGTTGCAGGGTCAACACTCGACACAAACTTTGGTTACATTTCAGGATATTATTACTATTATACTGCGATCATAGCCCAGAAATGTGTGTCCTGCGCGTGACGTCACTCCACATGCCGCACCCCTCCCCAATAACCATTAGCGGGTGACGTCACTCCACATGGGGCAACCCCCCTCATTAATAATCATGAGCTGAACAATTTTTCTATTGAATATTTCAGATATAGTGCAAGATACACCAGTCCTTGGACGGGCAAAAAGCTAGTCGTAATAATATGAACTTGTGTTAAGTACTGTAGATGCTTTATTTTTTTTGTTATGAATCATAAATGTGGGCGGGCAACAGATGACTGGTCGTAGAAAATTTAAACTTTTCAATTATGTTACCTGATTCTTTTTTGTATGACGATAACAAACTGGAATATATTCAGGGCATTCACAAAAGCTGCATCCCGATAATAGGCGCAGCGGGATACAGCATGTTGACATTGTCTTCGCTGTGAAGAACAGGTCTAATCGTTTAACTGATGGTCTTGTGTTAGCAGAGGGATAAACATCAATGTCAAAATATCGATGTAACGGAACAAAAAACGCTGATATTACCAATGTGTCCATGTTTGTTGTCCGTTCAACATAGTCCGTGGGCTATCTCTTTGGCATTTTCTATGTCTTAAGATACACCAAACAAGAACAAAAATGTTAATATCGTATATTTTGGGAACCGAATCAGAAGTGTATTTCCCAAGGAAAGCCCGCACCTATTATCGCGGTTAGCTACGTACGGTGCGAAAGAAGTTCAACATACATACAGGACATACAAGCTCTTTTTCAAGGGTGACTGGGCCGACAGACAATATCAAAGCATTCCACAATAACAGATTTGAAAAAAAAAACTTCATTGCATTTTTGTTGTAAAATTACATTCACACTTAAACTTAAGTGATTTTAATAACAATGTAAATATTTTAATGAGGACCGAGATGACAGAATGGAGATGCCAAGAGACGAAAATATATGGTTCCAAAACGTTGGGGATACTATAAATATTTAAGAGAGCCCCATGCAGCTTTAGGATATACAATGAAACATTTTGGGAGGTGGTGACATTGCCCCGACTGGAATCCATTCTTGTTGAAGCTAGTGACTTTTATTAACATGGACAATATATTTCGAAAAACTCTGTTCATTACAACAAACAGCATGCACATATCCGAACCAATGTGGCCACATGAAGTAAAAAAAAAACGAAATGCCTATTAGACACAATTTGATGCTTTTACCCAAAAAAACATTTGTTTGAAATGTTTTCAAGAGACTTTCTGTACTTGAAATACATATATTGGAATTAATTTCAGACGTTTTGCAAACATCTGGGGCTGTGATGTAGTGCGGCTTTGAAGTAATGGTACCCAATTTATCCTCCCAAATCCTATTTTTATTTTAAGTTGATTTTTTTTAAGAAAGAAAATTTACCAAAAAGCAAGACAACGACATGATATGTATTTTTTCCCGCTCTCCCGGCATGTTTGTTTCTGCATGAACGTGGCATTTGATCCCACCGCTGACTAGATTTAAAATAGTCCAGTAGTTGAATGTTGAGTTGCCTGAAGGTTGTTTTTTATTCATTCAATCCAGCAGTCCACAGGGTTGAAACATTCAGGCTGGCCCTGCCTTTGACCCATTCTGATGTTGAACCAGATTGGACTGTGTGAGGAGCTCGCAGATCCTTGAGAGATCTGGAACACAGTGCCAGTGAGAAGTGGAAGTTAGAGTCGATTCGAGTTAATCGACGAGGAGCCTCGGACGTGGTCATTTCACACCTTTGGATGAGGTGTCCACATCTTCTATGTCCGATGAGTGAGTGTTGGTTTATCAGTGAACCCAACTGCTTTATTTTTAATTCCTTCAAGCGCAGCACTGTATATTGGTGCTCTACCACAGACACAACAGCGGGGATATTCTGGCAGACAACTCTCCTCGTCTTGGCGAGAATGGAGCACTTTAGCGATAAACTGAAAGGGAAGGATTCGGAGTATGAGGCCATGGGGTCCCCGTTTCTGCTGAAACTAGCGTGATGACCGTTGCTCCTAGGGGGCCGTCCATAAATGACGTCACGCGATTTTGGACGATTTTTGACCCCCCCCCCCCCGTCGTCACACGGCGTCACAAAAAGTCAGACCCCCCTCTCAAATATGACGTCACAAAGCTCTGCCCCCCCCCCCCAAAATAAAACATGCTTCAAATCGCTTTAAACTATTGTCATTGTAGTGCGTATGTAATGGGCGCTGCACTCTGATGTTGTAGAATAAAACATGTAATAAAAAGTCTATTTAATCCCACTTGATACAGTAAATTTAGCTGTGGCGGTCCCACCTGATGACGGAGACTTGTGTTGCCTCCGAAACGTCGTGATTTATTATTTTATTTCTAGAATTTTTATTATTTATTTTTTACCTACGTGACTTTTATACTCTTAGGTTTTTTCGGTAAAGTCACGTAGGTAAAAAGTAAAAAATAAATAATAAAAATAACTTTACCGAAAAAACCAGTGGAGGATTTTCCTCTCCCCGCCCCTCTCCCATCACGCACCCCTCCCCTCATCTCGCCCTTCCCCTTATCGCACCAGGCCCCTCCCCCCGCCCCTTGCCCTGCACTCGCCCCTCCCCTCAGCTCGCCCCTCCCCCTTATCGCACCAGGTCCCTCCCCCCGCTTCTTGCCCAGCACTCGCCCCTCCCCTCAGCTCGCCCCTCCCCCTTATCGCACCAGGTCCCTCCCCCCGCCCCTTGCCCAGCACTCGCCCCTCCCCTCAGCTCGCCCCTCCCACTTTTCGTACCACGCCCCTCCCCCGCAGGACGGAGGGGTGGGGGGAAAAGAAGCACCCCCCAAAAAATAAGTCACGTGATGCGTCCCAAGCCAATGGGGAACCCCGCAAGGCGGAAGTAGACGTGGGAACGAGGCAGGAAGCGGTTGTGACGTCACCACACGTGCTCTCCCCCTCACACGAGGGACGCAGCAGCAGCGAGCATGGGCCCCGGAGGCCACATCAACAGGCCTCGCATGGTGAGGGGCGAGAGGGCGACGATAGAGGGCACCTGTGAGGGAGAGCGCGAGTGTGCATGAGCGAGTTTTCTTGTGAAAACGTGAGAGGGAATGTGTGTTGGTATGTTGAACGTATTTCGCACCGTACGCAAGCCAAGGCGAGGGAGTGAGAGCGAAAGCGTGTGCGAGAGGGCCTTAGTGAGTTTGTGTGGGCAGCGCTAGTGTGGTGGTGAGCGCACTGCGCTGCAAACCCGACGACCCGAGTTCGATTCCTCCTCACGACCAATAACAGTGACGAATGTGTGAATAGGTCCTGGGGTTCCCTTGTGAGATTATATATCAGCTCTGGGGAGAATTTAAAGGCTGCCGATCCTGGACTTGGCCTCGTGCGCCGCGTCGGTCTAAATCGCTGCTCACTAACGGAACCTGCCCCAACAAGCCGGTGGTGGGGAGCGGTAGCGTAGCAGTTAGCGCGCTGCGCCACGAACCCGAGTTCGATTGCCGCTCAACACCAGTGACGATTATTTGAGCCGGTTCTGGGCCTCCCCTATGTCGACTGGGCCTTAGATAAGTACCTGGTGCGTTGTGTAAACATCGCCACTCGGGAGACAAAGGCTGCCGGGCTTGGTTCTGGCCATCCACCCCCTCGTGTGCCGTGCCAGCCTTCATACCAGCTACTCGCTAACAACACTTGCTGCCAACAGTCTGCTATAGGCTATACGGGGGATCTTTGCCTCTTTTTTGCCAGTCAAGGCACTGACGCCGGTACATGTTGGTTGTCTTGCAGGAAGTGAGGAAGAGCGTCGTCAGGCTGCGGCGAACTCTCAAAAGGGATCGACTGTTCAACAAGAAAGCCCGCGCCGCGGCGGTCGCACTCACGCAGCCTGCCCGGTACGGCGGCGTGCGCAGTGACGCCGCAGCGCCACTGCCGCGGTGGACAGCGACGCGGTGGCGACTCCAGTCATCGCAGCGCGGCGTGCGCGCGATGTGTAAACAGATGATACACGTAGTTTGACGATGTTAGCAAATCGCTAAATAGGCCACGGCTTCCTTGCAATATGAACTCTGTGCGGCGTTTGAATTGCCTAGCTGGAGATAGAATCGTGGAGCTACAGGGAAAAACAAAGTGAAACGCATCTCCGTCCGAAAATCGCGATCCCTGTGAATGGGTGTGGGCTAACGCCGAGCTGCAGGGAAATGCAGAGCTAAGCTTTATTTATCTTCTTGGTTCTTTCGGTAAAGTCACGTAAAGGGAAATAATAAAATAAAATATAATAAAATAATTATCACGACGTTTCGGCCACAACGCAAGCAGCCGTCAGGTGAAGAACAGGTCTGTCGGAAAGACAGCGTCTGAATGAGTGGGTGGGGGAATGAGTATTGTTTTATTTATTATTTTATTATTTCCCTTCTACGTGACTTTACCGAAGGAACCAAGAAGATGAATCCCTGCAGTCACGAAAGCTTTAAATCGAAAAAAGCTTTATTTACTTTGCAATTATATATTATGTTTGCATCAGCATAAACTAATGCTGATGTGATTTGTGTCATCGAGAAGAATTTTGAAATTCAAGTAAAAAAAAGTAAAAATCCTTTGCCATAGACCTCAATGGTAGATTGGGACAATTTATCTCTAAGAAACACTCGTAACCTTTAAAGTCTGTGAACTTATCGCGGATTAATCGAGTCGCGTGGCTCCTTCGTCCGATAAACATCGTCATATGGAGCCCACATATGATCGCGCATTTTCTATATATGGAAAGATTTGCATGTCATGCTATTGATCGTAAAGTTTTTTTTCTCCAAATACCACTGCAACTACTTTCAACTCTTAATTAACTGAGCTTTGGAAATTTCCTTAAAGTCTTACATATAGTGTCAGAGTTGAGATTATCCATAAAAAAAAGTCTGGGTTCTGCTCACCTGTCTTAACTAGTAGGGATGCGATCACCAATGTTGAATGCATTGTTACAATTTAAGACCACAATTTAATTCAAGAATCAAAATCTTCATCTCCTTTTTGCCATGTTTACTTGGTACAACTTATCTTCATTAGCCTACATATAACAACACATGCATACAATAATCGTAAATCAAAACATTGATTCTTATATGTATGTACACTGAGCCTTAAATGATCATCTGTATCCTTACTCCATTATTTTAAATAATCCCAACTACCTTTGTAATGAGACTATGAATTGAAGCAAATATTATATTCAGTTACATTATCGGGTGTTTGCCACTTGTGGCAGAGGTTCTAGTGGGCCACCCTGGTTATCTGTAGATGTACTAACCATTAAATATGTGCCGTCTGCTTTACATAAGAGGTTAAAGAACCTGTAATTTGAAAAGAGATTTATATTATGTGCTGTGGTCATGGTCAGTTTTCCAAATTTGAAAAATTACCTGCAAAATTTGCAATGAGGCATACACATGGCACCACGGCCCCCTACTGTGAAACCACTGCTATGTATGTTAAACATAGCACCTTCGTCAATAGCCTTGCTCCATTTGAATAGCATGATCACCAAACATACCAAATTATTATTCCCTTGTGATTTATAGGAAATTATTTACATCGACTGCATCACTTTAGTAATTGTTTTGAATTGCAGCACCATGCCATTCACGGAACCCTGAGACGTGTCACAAAGCAGGTGTTCGCACAATGTACAAGTACTAAACATTATTACATTGTCTAATCCTGGAGCATATGGGATAGGTTGTATTAAAAACTGATGAGTTTTGTTAGTATTTATGCTGCACTGCAATTGCGCCAAGCCAGGGAGCAAGCAGCTTTATCACTTGATGAATGTGGTGGTCCAAATTGATGGACCGCCACTAATCCTTGGACCTCTGCTAATCCTTGAATCAACGCTAAGCCCTTGTTAGCAGACACGGTCTTCAACAATGTGCGTCATCGTCTGTGTTTCAGGCCTCCCAAGGAAACGCCTGTTTCTGGCAAAAGACGAAGAAAGCAGCTGAAGAGGCTGCGTCACATTCAGAGGGAGCAGAACACCATGCAGGGTGCGGACTTGTTTTATGTAGTTTTTTTACATAAATGCTGAGCACAGGCGAAAGGCGTCTAAACGGCCAGAACACATAGCACTATCAGTTTCTTGAATGTAGCAAGGTTAAAAGAGGGAGGGAATTCCAAAGTGTGGAGCAGTGTGAGGGAAGAAGCAGAAATATAAGTTTGTTGACCTGCCGTTTGGTGGCTAAACACTGGGGATGAGAATAAATGGTCTGGTAGACATAGGTGGAGAAATTGAAGAATTACGTTTATGGCACAATAATCATGGTAGTAGGGATAGAACAGTGATTAAGTGACTGATTGCAGGTGAGTACTTAATTATCAAGGCTGTGCAGCATCTGATGGATACGTGGTTGTACCGGGTGTGGTAGTGTAGCGGTTAGCATGCTGTGCTGTGAACCTGGCGACCTGAGTTCGATACTCACTCATGGTCAACGCCAGTGACGATTATCTGAACTAGTCTGGGCCTCCCCTAGGTTGACTCAGCCTCATGAGTACCTGTAGTGCTGTGTAGTAAACAACACCACTGGGGAGACGAAGGCAGCTGGGCATGGTGCTGGCCACCCACCACCTCGTGAGCCATGCCGGCCTTCATAGGCGCTCGCTACCAGCAATTGCTACTACAGTCTGTTAATGCTATACGCTGAAAGGAGTTGAATGCAGGGAAGCATTACAGGATGGGAATTATGGGCAGGATATGAGCAGCTTGTGTTTCGATTTCAGGTTGCGTTTGTGCTTTGTGGAATGTGAGGTTTGTGTGTGAATCTGGCTCGACCTGGGCATGTCTTAAGGTTATAAAGCAGGGTTAACCTTGATCCAATCGCAAATAAATAGTTAAATCATAGCTTAGTATGTGTGCTTTTTTAAACTCAGAAATATTGCACAAGTCTATTCAAATTAATAACTGTAAACTCCTGAAGCATTTTCCAAGAATATTTAAATGTAATATTTAATGGCACACATCGAGGGGACGTCAACCGAGGAGATGGAGCAATGAGATCAGTTCATGCGTGGGTGCTGGGTGGATTATTACATTTTCAGGGTCATGTAAGGTGGCACCGGCTTGGGGAGGTCTTCAACCAACAGTGGATTGATCATGGCTGCTGATGATGATTTTTTGACCTGGTACGAAATGTATTGTATTACCCAATAGGTAAGATGGACAATAGCATGTTTAGTTATTTGGAATCTGTACACTTGACTTAGTTTTTTTATCACAGTAAAAGAATTAAGAGTTGTTCAGCACAAGGCTTGAGAATGCCTATCATGCTACCTGGCTGTACTGAGAAAACGGATGGCACAGCAGCCAATATTGCAGTGGCGATTGCCGGTGACACTGATTGTGATGCCTGTGCTCCTGTGCCTGTGCCTTCCAGTGGAGACAGAGCCCCAGCCATCGCTACTTGGTGAACAGCTGTCGGAGAAGAGCGCCACCTCCTCGCGGCGCAAGAGGAAGCAGAAACAGCAGCAGCCAGCTGATGTGGAGATGACAGAAAACACAGCTGTTGTAGTTTAGTCAATTCATTGTTAATAAATAAATGAAATATATAATAATCTCGCTTTTGTATTTCTTTAAAGAGAAACCTGTATCAAAAGACGAATATTTGTGTATGAAGATGAGGCTTGTATACAACCAACTCCTAACAAGGATGCAAGGGAAGCAGGGGGAGGAGGCAATGGGGGTGGTTTTCTCCCCTCAGGAGACCCAGAATAGCGGTGTTTGTTATTGATGACAGAAAATACATTGAATGATTTTAATTTTGTTGGACCCTAAAAAAGCCCCTCGGGAAGTTTCTAGATCAGCAAGGACATGAGTGCAACCCCATGCCGCCTCTGCTCCCCTGTAAACAATTACAACTTCTTTCGCACCGTACGTAATTGGGGGATTTTATTAAACCACTTTTGATCTGCATTGGTTTTGTTTCTCAATCGTGCTTTATTTGATCATATATTTACTTTGCAAGAAAAAAATCTTTTTGGATTTAAAAATTATTTTAAAAATATCGTGTTTTGCGAAATAAATAAGTTTGCACAATGGACTTGCAACCCATAGATCATCGTCCTATTCCAACTCCCAGCACAGCAGTTGACACTGGGAATAGTTTATTAACCCCCCAACTCTGTCCATGCAACAAGTATGAATGGGTACACCACTCGATCGGTAGGTTCCACTTGTACGTATGCTTGCGATTGGCACAGTGGGGTAAAGTGTGGGTACACCTACATTTTCGAGGCATCTGATCAACGTGGGATAGTCCACCGACTCGCTTAAGTCTGGCGTTTTGCCAGAAGTGGCAAAGCAATTGCAAGGCTGCACCTTTACCTTTGTAAGGGGATGTCTGAGCCATCCACACGCACTTGCACCGCAGACATGCAATCATTCAACAGCGCAAACACCAATCACACGGGAATGCACTCGACGGGGGTCAAGGGTTAAGGGGCGCTGACGTCACGGACTCTGCGTGCGAGGCGGAGATGGAGGGTTTAAATGGGGCTGTTAAGCGCGTGTTCGGGGTTGGTTTTCGGAACAAGTATGGCTGTGGTTGAATAAATTAGTGCGTAGCCAGTTTCTGACTCCTCTTCACCTTTTTGAATCGCTTCTGAGATTCTCCCACCAGATTTAGAAGACATGAGTCTGGATTCGCCATAAAAGTAACGTAAAATAGTTTTGACAATCGTTCATTTAACACTTAGTTCAGGCAACCTCAAGTGACACAAGGTGTGTCGTTATTGCCAAGAGCCAATAATGTCGGCATGAAAAACCAATGAGCGTCGCCGTAAACGAGTGGAACTTTGCATTTGTAACTGTAAACCGCTGGTAGTCTTTCAGAGGCAAGTGAATGAAATGTAGAGATACAATGTCAGTACGGCAATTCATTGCTACAAATTTTTGGATTACTGCAAAAGTAACGTCTAGCAATATTGGATGTCAATTTTAATATACTCATAAGCGCACAACTTTATCTTTTACTAGCGGAAGTACCCGGCTTTGCCCGGGTGAAAAATATATTTCTTAAAAACCTTACATATATATACACAGATACTAAGGTATTGTCAAAGCCCGGTGGGCTGTTTGTACATTTCTCCACCAACAAATATATAAGAGGCTTTCACAAGTCCAAAAAGTTGTAGAAAGTGTGGGGTAAATAGTTGATGTCAAAATGTTTCCGAAAATTGTGGTCTCCCCCCCCCCCCTCAAAAAATATCTTTACCCCTCGTAGGTATATATACTAACAACACCTTACATACAACAGAGGAAGTGGTATCTATTGACTCTGTAGTAGTATCTACTGACTGTACCGTAGTATCTACTGAGCCAGTAGTAGCTACTGACTGTGTAGTAGTATTTAGTGACTGTAATAACTACTGACCATAGTAGTATTTACTGGGCCTACAGTAGTATCTACCGACTATATACTCGTAACGACTAACTGTATAGTATCTGCTGACTCTATAGTTGTATCCACTGACTATAGTAGTAACTACAAAATCTATAGCAGTATCTACTCACTCTATAATAGTATCTACTGACTCTAGTAGCTACTCACCGTAGCAGTATGTACTGACTGTATAGTAGTATATACTGACTGTAGCAGTATTGACTGACTGTAGTGGTATATACTGACTGTTTTAGTATTTACTATAGCGGTATCTACCAACTCGATAGCAGTATCTACTATCACTACAGCAGTGTATACCGACTGAGGTCGTACCTGCTATCACTACAGCAGTGCATACTGCTGTGTTGGTACCTGCTATGATTACAGCAGTGCATACTGCTGTGGTGGTATCTGCTATGATGAGAGGAGTACATATTGTGGTGGTGGTACCTGGTATGATAACAGCAGTGCATATTGACTGTACTCATCATTCACCCTCACCATTCACCACTCACAACTCACCCTCAACACTCACCCTCACCACTCACCGTCACCACTCACCCTCACTACTCACCACTCATCCTCACCAATCACACCCTCAACAATCACCACTCACCACTCACCCTCACCACTCACCCTCACAACAACCACTCACCCTCACTGCTCAGCACTCACCCTCACTACTCACCCTCACCACTCACCACTCATCCTCACCAATCACACCCTCACCAATCACCACTCACCCTCACCACTTGCCACTCACCCTCACCACTCACCCTCACCATTCACCCTCACCACTCTCACTCACCACTCTCCCTCACCACTCACCAGTCACGCTCACCACTCACCCTCACCACTCACCCTCAACACTCACCCTCACCTCTCACCACTCACCCTCACCACTCACCCTCAACACTCACCCTCAACACTCACCCTCACCTCTCACCACTCACCCTCACCACTCACCCTCACCACTCACCCTGACCACTCACCACTCATCCTCACCAATCACACCCTCACCAATCACCACTCACCCTAACTGCTCACCCTCACTGCTCACCCTCAACACTCACCCTCACCACTCACCCTCACCATTCACCACTCACGCTCACCCTCACCACACACCCCTCACTAATCACCACTCACAACCGCCACTCACCCTCACCACTCACCCCTCATCCTCACCAATCACACCCTCAACAATCACCACTCACCCTCACCACTCACCACTCACCCTCAACACTCACCCTCACCACTCACCGTCACCACTCACCCTCACTACTCACCACTCATCCTCACCAATCACACCCTCAACAATCACCACTCACCCTCACCACTCACCCTCACCACTCACTCTCACCACTCACCACTCACCCTCACAACAACCACTCACCCTCACCGCTCAGCACTCACCCTCACTACTCACCCTCACCACTCACCACTAATCCTCACCAATCACACCCTCACCACTCACCCTCACAACAACCACTCACCCTCACCACTCACCACTCACCCTCACCATTCACCCTCACCACTCTCCCTCACCAGTCACGCTCACCACTCACCCTCACTACTCACCACTCACCCTCAACACTCACCCTCACCTCTCACCACTCACCCTCACCACTCACCCTCACCACTCACCCTCACCACTCACCAATCACACCCTCAACAATCACCACTCACCCTCACCACTCACGCTCAACACTCACCCTCACCACTCATGCTCACCACTAACCCTCACCACTCACCCTCACCACTCACTAATCACCTCTCACAACCGTCACTCACCACTCACTCTTACCACTCACCCTCATCACTCACCCTCACCACTCACCCTCACAACAACCACTCACCCTCACTACTCATCCTCACCAATCGCACCCTCACCAATCACCACTCACCCTCACTGCTCACCCTCACCGCTCACCACTCAACCTCACCCTCACCACTCACGCTCACCCTCACCACTCACCCCTCACTAATCACCACTCACAACTGCCACTCACCCTCCCCACTCACCCTCACCACTCACCCTCACCAATCACCCTCACCACTCACCCTCACCATTCACCCTCACCACTTTCCCTCACCACTCACCCTCACCACTCACCAGTCACGCTCACCACTCACCCTCACTACTCACCACTCACCCTCAACACTCACCCTCACCGCTCACCACTCACCCTCAACACTCACCCTCACCGCTCACCACTCACCCTCACCACTCACCCTGACCACTCACCACTCATCCTCACCAATCACACCCTCACCAATCACCACTCACCCTCACTGCTCACCCTCACCGCTCACCCTCACCGCTCACCCTCACCACTCACCCTCACCACTCACCCCTCACTAATCACCACTCACAACCGCCACTCACCCTCACCACTCACCACTCACCCTCACCACTCACCCCTCACTAATCACCACTAACCCTCACCACTCACTAATTACCTCTCACAACCGTCACTCACCCTCACCACTCACCCTCACAACAACCACTCACCCTCACTACTCACCCTCACCACTCATCCTCACCAATCACACCCTCACCACTCACTACTCACCACTCATTCTCACCAATCACACCCTCAACAATCACTACTCACCCTCACCACTCACGCTCAACACTCACCCTCGCCACTCATGCTCACCACTAACCCTCACCACTCACCCTCACCACTCACTAATCACCTCTCACAACCGTCACTCACCCTTACCACTCACTCTTACCACTCACCCTCACCACTCACGCTCACCCTCACCACTCACCCCTCACTAATCACCACTAACAACCGTCACTGACCCTCCCCACTCACCCTCACCAATCACCACTCTCCCTCACTCACCCCTCACCACTCACCCCTCACCCCTCACCACTCACCCCTCACCCCTCACCCCTCACCACTCACCCCTCACCCCTCACCACTCACCCCTCACCCCTCACCACTCACCCCTCACCACTCACCCCTCACCACTCACCCCTCACCCCTCACCACTCACCCCTCACCCCTCACCACTCACCCCTCACCACTCACCCCTCACCACTCACCCCTCACCACTCACCCCTCACCCCTCACCCCTCACCACTCACCCCTCACCACTCACCCCTCACCACTCACCCCTCACCACTCACCACTCACCCCTCACCACTCACTCCTCACCACTCACCACTCACCCCTCACCACTCACCCCTCACCACATGTTAAGCGCGATCCTAAAGGAATCTACAACCTTAGATGATTCCTTTGCGCGATTCAAAGAATCGATTCCTGGCGCATAGGAGGTTTACATTTTTAATTACAGAGTTTTATTTTCATTGTTATGTTTTAAAGTTTTCAGGAGTTTTTAATTATATTTTAGCCCCAGTCAACGCCGGATATTTCCCATTCGTAGCAGTTTATATCAACTCTATAACCAACTTTATTAAACGGAAATAAGGCGATTCTAAATGAATCTACAACCTTCGATTCCTTTTCGCGATTCAGAGAATCGATTCTTGGCGCGGTCGGGTTTATAATTTTAATCACACAGTTGTATTTTCATTGGTATGTTATGTTTTAAAGTTTTCAGATGATTTTAAATGTATTTTTCCCCCGGGAAACGCTGGGTATATCGAGTTTATACCACAAAGTCGTCGCCTGACAGAGTTGCGTGTCGAGGCCTAGTACCGTGCAGAGCATCCGGCCTCGCCTAGATTGCCCACCCGGCTGAGGGTGGGTACTGGGGCCCTTACGCCCCCCCCCCCCCCGCGCTACAATAATACTGTCTAATCGCTATAATTGTATTATCTACCGACCCTATAATAGTAATTGCACACATTGGGGTGGAAGGGGAGTGAAGAGGACGTGAAACTTTGATGAATTTACCTCAGAGTCGCGTGTTAATGCGTGCGCATATTTGTAACAGGAATTAAAAATGGCGTCCACCCCGCAGCGAAGTTGTTGCTATCCGTTGCCAGGGGCAACCGCCGTGGTCCGCGCCGGCTGGCAATATTAAATAAATAAATAATTATATAACTAAATAAAGAGCAATCGCACTAAATCGATAATCGGTCCGATTTAAAGTTTAGAGACGAAAAATCGGAAATGCCTAAGTTTACCGCGGGCCGGGGGCGTGCCCACCTGCAAAATTTAATCTCGGCGAACCCCACGGTCCGAGAGCTAAATCCCCCGGAAGGGAGCGTATGCAGACGGATAAACAGACAGACAGATAGACAGACAGACAGACAAAAAATGAATTATATAGGTTAGATGAACGCTGCACTTTCCGTCGTTTTCCTGCAGGGGGCGCTGCAAACTCACGCGCACCACCACCACACGAACGAGGCGCGTGTTTCACTCACAAAGGCTGGCGCTGAACAAAATTAACGACGGCGTTATGAATATGCGCGTACTTGCGATTAAGAAGCAGCGGCAGATATTAACATGCACGCATACCCCCCCCCCCCCCTCGGGTGGTTAAGCATTAATCCGCTGTGCAAACAAAGGCCAATGCTAAAGGAAGCACGTGTTGCATTGTGTGCGTGTGCTCAGGGTGGGGGCCGGGAGGGGATCGCGGCGTTTGCAGAGTTGCTCCCGCGGTCGTGGCGACACAATCATCGCCACGGGGGAGACAAAGGTGGTGATGGCTACCCCCACCCCCTCGTGTGCCTTGCCGGCCTTCATCGGTGCATCTCACTAACAGCACTTGCCCCAAAAGTCTGTTGAGGCTATACGGGGGGGGGGGGGCGGGATTACAGATGTGTGGACACCCCAGTAACAGCTTCACCAACATGGGGGGGGGGGGGGGGCTTTTTTCTCTTGTCTGATTATACCTATCACATCTTAACACAATTGAAATTTCTCCAGTCATTTAAATACATCTCAATCCATTCTAGTCTAAATTGTTTAACCTCCCAGTGAATACATTTATTTCTGTATATCTTTTATGTATCCCAACCTATCTGAATACATCTGTAGGGATTATTACGGGAGAAACGGCGGACAACAAACACAGGGGTGTCGGTACTCACATACACGGGTGGTCACACCGACGTCCGCATCCGTTATTGCCCACGCCCCCAGCCCTCGGAGGTGATCCCTATAAAAGGTGGAGACCCAAAGAGCTCGAAGCAGTTCGACACGAAGCTGACCAGTGAAGATCCAAGACTCGGAGATTAGGCCCTGGGACTCCCCGGTCTTGCCGTCCTTATAAGGGCCGAGCCGGGTGAGCCAGCGGCGCGGCCCAAAAGCTTCCAGACCGCTGCCCTTATCAGGGCAAGGCTGGTTAGCTGGTGCCGAGATCTGTGCTTGCCAGGGCCAGATCAGTCAGCCTCCCGTAGCCCAGTAGAGGAGGACTGGGGAACAGGACAGGGGGCTTAGTACTAGGGTGGGTTTCCCATAGTACGGGTGAAGGGGCCGATACCCCTTCAACTATTGTGCCTGTCCCTGGATTAATAAACAGAGTGTGCCTCAACTTCGACATCGTCTCCTCGAACTTACTACACATCTATAATTTATCTTATCCAGTCAATATATCAATGCATCTCATCCCGTCTGAAGAATATGTTCACCATCTCACTATTTTCGATCTCATCTAGAAATACTGACACCACGTCTCCTGCATATTTAATTTAATGTATTACTGTATACACGTGTATTACTGTATACAGTCATTGCATCAAATGGCAGCAGAATACCAATTCAGCCATTTCACTTTATATGAAGCTGGCTGCATCTTCATATATGGCCAACAGAAAGTGAAGAGTTTTGGGTACAGTTTGGGATAACCCAACATGCAATTAGTTTTATGGTATTAAACCAGTAACGAAATAATTTTTTTGGTTATCATTCCAGAGCAAAACTTTTTCACATTTAGGTTACTGAAAATAAACTATTAAACCTGTTTACCAGATCCAGTTTTTGTTTCTGCAGGGACTCCTCTACTTAAAAATGAGTTAGGTTCCAGATATCTGTTCCTAAGTCACAACTTTACTCCTGTCGATTCAAAATATGTTGTACATGTACACTAAATACATGCTTTAACAGTTGCATAATCTGTCGATGAAGATTCCACTGATTCTTCATGTTTTGCAGATGTAGATGCCACCTCCGCCATCTATTGCGCGGCGGTTGAACTTATAATTCTCGGTCCAAAGAGGCAACTGGACAGGTTTGTTTGTATCTCTTCAAAGTTCGTAAGTCGAATGTATGCAAGGTGTGCCTGAACTTGGCACACGATTTCTTAACGCGATGGCATTGCTATGGCGTGAAGAGAGATTTAAAATAGCATCGTTAATTCAAAAAATAAAATCCTTACACCTTACCAAGCCCCGGTCTAGGGATGAAAGACTACCCAAAGCGCGCAATCCCTAGACACTTACTTGTATGCTCATGTGCTCCAAGTTGACTTGATTTGGGTTCAATAAAAAAACATTAAAAAGGAAATCCTGTGTCAAACATTTAATCTTTGAGCAGCATTTTACGTGGTATCTGGTGACGTATGCGGATCCAACAATGTCACAGCTGCACACGGTCCCCGTCGGAACAAACGATGACATGGCTCGCCTGAGCAAAACCGACCATGCACAAAGATGAACCATTTCACAACTGTAACCTACTTTGCATATTAATCACATGCGGCGATGGCAACTGCACTTTGGCAAGTTGGGGTGCGGGTATTTTAAGTGTCTTCAACCTCTGCCTTTAAAAACAAACATTCTTCACCATTGCTGGTGACGTAATCCCGCATCTTGGAAAACTGAAGGAACCCGACTTCCCCGAAGGGTGGATTCCACCCCCCTGCGGGGCGCATAAAAGACGGATTTGATGGCTGAGTCCATGGCTTTATGTTCAACGATACTTTTTTGCTTCTTCTCTGAGCTGGGTTTTGTATGTAGATGGTTGTCTGAAACATAAGAGTCAAACAATAGCATTCATCAAATCTTTAGTGTAAAATAATCTTGAGTGTAAAAAAAGAAAAACCCCAACAATGTAATTTTGGCTAAACATCTCAATGCCATAATGACTAAATTGGGGTCACACAATGCAACGAGCGAATGGCAATTGTTGATGCCGGCTCAACACCTGGCTGTCTTCCTGCTTGTCTGTGGTTCCTCATACGTCTCATTCTCTTTGCATATTTCAAGTTTACACTATGTTAAACAAACGTGGCAGGACCCTTCTAAAAACGAGTCCTGAGACTGTGAGACTGAGACTTTCCTGGGAAAACATGCATAATCATAATAACAAACTGATATCATTAGCTGGCTAACAAACAAATCACGAGTGTTTACATACTGGACTCCCCATGTAACAAAGCCAAAGAGACATGCACAGCTGTCGGAGGATTACTGTGTGACCAACACCGTGTTTCCATGATCACTGAACAGCCGAGGCCTGTGAGCTCCACCCAGACGACGCAGCTCCCTTGGTGAAGTGCGAGTTGGGCCACTCTCAGAAACAGCCATCGCATCACGATGTCCATGTGCACCATTTACCGAGTCATGGGAAGTCAGTTTCAGGACCTTGTTTTAGTTTCTAATGAAATGGCAATAGAAATACAAATTGGAATCGGTATGACCCATGCTGGAGTCCAATCTGGGCTGAGCCAAGTCTCCACCAGTGCCATGGCCTTGCCTAGTTTCACTTCCCACGATTCCTGCACACCCAACCCTACCTATCCTGTAGCCTTGTGTCCAAGTCTTAATTGGTCTAAAATCTAGGCAAGGATGGAGATAGTGGATGTTTAAATTACTTAGTATGTGTTAGGTTCATTTGGTGGGCCAGCTTTCAAAGGTATCAGCTTCACGGTGTATAACAGCTGGAGATGTGAAATATTGGGAGCATCTCCACTTGTGTGGGTGCTACACTCATGGAACTCATGTTGGGTTGGGTGTGCCAGGGTTACCTTCAGCTGGTATGGCCAGGCTAATGTTGCATCATAAGGTCCAGGGCCCAGCATGGCATACGCAGACACGTGCTCACCGCTACGACAGAGCCTCAGTCGTAACCTGTAGCCATATCGTGTGGTGAAGAAAGCTACACAGGGGATGGTGGTTGGAGAATGCAAGTTGATTTTCAGAAATGAACAGCAAACCCCCACCAAGTCGGATTTCGCATTTGGCTGCACCAGGTCGGCTAAATAATAAAATAATTACATGCAGCCTCCCGAGCTCCTTGTAGCTCCACGTGGCCCGGTCTCTCTCCATCTTTCTTAGTTTATTTCACTCCATTTTGTGTTGTTTTTTTATCTCTCAAGAGAGCACCAATACAGCTCAACTGTGGGTGCCATGCAGCACACGCACCACCATATCAATTATTTTATCAATCCCATTTCAAACTGATCCCAAGCGAGATTTGAACGCCCCCGGTGTAAACCGCTATGTCAAAAACTCATCATTGTTATTTGAAAAATGACCCGCAAATTATTCAATGTCATTGCACGTAGCAAACACCGGCCCCCCACTGCGGAAAGTTGGCAGTACTCTAATGAAAGTGTTACACTAGACAAGTGTAATAATAATAAATAATTACATGCTCAGTTATAATTTAAATACTGTAACGTTAACAGAAGCACTAACCCGGGGAGTCTATTTGTGGAGGGCGTTCAGCACCGCTCCCTGCCTCCCTAAGTCTGTTGATCACGTGTTTTATTTTCCACAAAAACATGCCATTGTAGGCAGTGTTCTCCAATTCAGCCAGTCTACGTGTTAATCCCAAGAGACTCCGTTCTGTCTCTTGGTCACTGTGCTCTACACGGGCCATCTGAAAGGAAGGGCAGAAAGACACACGGGCAGGGAGAAGAGTGACGAACAAAGTATATGTGGAGAACCAAAGAACATAGATACAATTCCAAGGTCTACACACACAACTTAGGGCTGTAATACGGCCCAGCGGTAGCACCTTTACCGCTTGTATTTGGTCATTACTACAGGCGTATTAACCATAAAGTTTTCGCTGTCTGTTTCACAGTGGACGTTTGACAATCCCTTGATGTAATTTGCCTCTGGCACACAATGACTTATTTTTTTATTACGTCACGAGATATTTCATGTCCAATGTGAAGCAGACAGCGCAGATAATTTTATGGTTAACACGCCCGCAGTAATAACTCAGGCCTACTGGATTTAAATTGCGAACCTCTACAATAAGCATCGAACGCGGTATTGCTGGGCGATACATTATGTATGTTGAACTCCTTTTGCACTGTACGTAGCCAACCGTGCTAACCGGAGGTGTGGGCGAAGTACAACAAACTAAACACAAAAAGCAGTTCTAAAGAAATTAGTTTTCAATATAGATTTAAAAGTGAGCTCCAGTGGCTTCCTAATATCGAAATAGCTTCCCAGACGGCCGCAGTATTCAATGTGTGTACGGTTAGTTAATATTGAACTGTGTTTTATACCTTAATATGTAGCTTATTTTATTCACGTCTATCTTAGCACCGCATGTAAAACTGTGAGCTTCGGCGTAAGCATCGATTTACCTGCACGCATCATCGTAACAATGTGTGCCGTGTCACCAGTGCGCACATGTGCATTGGTAGCCATTTGCGATCTCATCGGCGGATCTGAGTGGGGAGCAATGGGGGCGATGCCACCACCCCTCACCTTCTCGAAACCCTGAAAATTGGTACCTTATTGATGTTTACCAGAGAGAACACGCTGAATGTTTAACATGTGGGCTTTCGCAATCGATGTTATGTCTCAAAATAGAGGTTTTTTAGGTTAGATCGCGTAAATATATAAATGTGTCGTTAAAACACCACCCGACACAGCCAACTAGTAAGGGTTGTCACGTGAACAGAACGTGCCAATTCGTCACTAGTACAGCACACCGGTGTGTTGGAGAGCCAAGTCTCAACATTTACAATCTCAGTACGACGTTTCAGCAGTAATTACAGCTAGCTTAATCTATTATGGATATTGGTCGCAAAAGCCGACGTGTTAAACTGATGTGTTATGACTCATTATTGTTTTTTTGGGTCAGATCGCCACGTGATTAAAATGCCAATGTGTGTTGTACACCCTCTTCCACCCAACACAGGCCAATAAATTAAGTCGTCACATGAACGCGCACATTTGATTATTTATTCAGCATGACGGTGTGATGTTAAGCAAGCCGTCACATTTAAACAAACTTCAAACCAAATTGTGTACTATTGTGGACCACTCTCCAAAGTTAGTGGTGTGCTGAAGAGTTATACAGGGAGGAACAATGTTCCACACTGCCCACCAGGGATTATTTAGCTGTCTGTCTGACTGTCTGTCTGTCGTACATAAATAAATATATAATACACACAGCTCTTTGATTGGTGGAGACCTTACAAACAGCTCTTTGATTGGTGGAGACCTACTGCCGGGTACGGAGAGGGGAGGTGCCTAAGGGAGGAGGGTCAGGGGAGGGGCCTAAGGAAGGGGGGAGTCAGGAGAGGGGCCTGAGGGGGGGGGGGTTCAGGGGAGGGGCCTGAGGGGGGGGTCAGGGGAGGGGCCTAAGGATATGGGGGGGGGGGTGCTCAGGGGAGGGGCCTAACAGAAGGGGGGTTAGGGGAGGGGCCTAAGGGAAGGGGGGTCAGGGGAGGGGCCTGAGGATATGGGGGGGCGGGTGGTCAGGGGAGGGGCCTAAGGGAAAGGGGGTCAGGGGAGGGGCCTAAGGGGGAGGGGCCTAAGGGAGGGGGGGGGATAGTTAAGGGGGCTGTCTGCCTGGCTACCTAAAGTCAAGTTATCTTTTATACATACAGGTAGGAACAACAGGTTCCACACTGCCCACCAGGGATTATTTGTCTGTCTGTCGTGCACGAATGCGCTGTCCAACCAAGTTCCTACCTGCCCACTCCGAAGGAACGTGTTACAAATTGGTGCGTTTGTTCACGTGACAACTTACATTTTTCGGCTGTGTCGGATGGAGGAGGGTTTTACAACACATATTTCCATTTTACTCGTGTGGCGATCCGGCCAAAATTAATAATCCATGTCATTTATTTATTTAGTAGGGCCCATATTTAAAAAGCCTGAAATCTCAGGACTCCCCCCTCCTGCCACCCCCTCTTTCCTGTTGGGAAGTTTCTAAATCTGTCCTTCCGCACCTCCGATTAACACGGTTGGCTACGTATGATGCGAAAGAGGTTCAACGCACATACGTACATCTGCCGCCGGTGCATCTACACGTCACCGTGTGTGGGTTTGTTTACAGGTGGCCATGGCAGAGACTGTGTGCTGTGGTTCTTGCGCTCGCCACCTTGTTCTGCAGGCGAGCGGTCCCGTCTCGGTCGATGTTCCCCTGCCGCGTGGAGGCCTCCGACACGCGAACGTCTCTCTCCACACGCTTTGCGACTTCCTCCATTCGCCTGTCCATCGCGGCCAGCTGAGCCTCGGCGGCCACAAGGCGAGCTGAGACTGACGGGCACCAACACACATCATTGGGGGTTTCATTATGATGAGATTTTTATATGTATATAAAATATATATATAAAAGAGCCACCCTCCTTTGCGTCAGGGCATCTCGAAGCGCTTTACAGGTGATAAGCAACTTGCACCGCATCTAATCTCAACACATTTGAAAGGGAACCCCCAGTGGCAGCTGTCTCTGGGTGGCACAAGGTGACTGCACATAGCTTGAAAATGGGCACGAGTCGGCCAGGAAGGGTCGATGATTGCCACTGTGTCATCCCATTTTATCAATTTGTGGGATTCCTTTTTATAGATTTGGCAAGTTTAGACTATAACACTGGCACACAATGGCCTTTCGTTTCGAATATCATGAGATCCTTTACGTCCATTGAGAACCAGAGGGTATGTATTACATTTATGATGAATACACCCATCAATCCTTTCTTCAACTCACTCTCTTAAACTGGCTCCCTCCTTCAACTCCCTTCCTGTCAATTCAAACCATGAATCTGTGCAACAAGTGGCAGACGCATGACCGTTGGACCGTGTCACCATTCCTGGGTTACACCGTAAAAACAGCTGCTTGTTATGCCGTAATGCTTACCTCCTCTCTCAAACCCCTCTCCACCTCTCACGGTGCGCACATTCCGGACAGATAGTAATGATGATGGCGACAAGAATAAGGATGCGTTGGACTCGTTCTTCAACGCTTCTGCTCTTGCTTCTAAACTTTGCAGCTGTTTCAACAATTCGTCTGCTGCCAAACGACTGGTGTGCGACCATGCGTGCGGTGCCTGCATTTGCTGTTGTGCGTGGTTTCTCGTCTTTGAGAGGCAACATTGCATTTCGTCGAGAGTCGGTTTATGTGGATGCTTGATGTTGTCCGTGTGTCCCTTGATAAGCTGCTCGAATGTTTTTTTGAAGGCGTCGTAGACTATGGCGAGGTGAACTTCCACCGAGTTTTTCTCGTGATCGTGCAAACTTTCTCCGTGTCCCTGCAAAACACGAACACAACATTCAAATCTGTGTGCTGATTATGAAACCAGACGCAGAATAACATTCAGCTAATTGCATTGGCCATAGACACTTTAGCTCACACTATTATTTTACGTAAGAAATCCATGGATTACCCTTTTACCAACTGCATATTCACATGCTGCAAAACTGTACACTTGTGCAAAGGAACAAATGTAACCTTCCCCAAAATTTCGCTAAAAATTATACAGCTCAAAATAAATTCTACATTACAATTACATCAACTAAAACGCACGTCAAGATGCCATTCCAGCCAACATTCCTCTTCTGCCACCAGCTCCCAGTACAACCTCAGATCAAGTTAAGATCACACTCACCATCTGCAGGACCCTCCACCCACTCTCCCCTGCCTACCTCTCCCCTCTGATCTCACTCGACTCCTCCCACCCTCTCCTACCTCTCCCCTCTCATCTCTCATCTCACCCGCCCCCCACCGCCATCCGTGCTGTTGACTCCCTGCCCCTGTTCAAGTCCAGACTCAAGACCTTGCTTTTTTCCTTTGCCTATGTCTTCTCTCTCGCTATAAAATTCCCATTGTTCTTTAGGTTGTAATTATTTGTGGATGCTACATAAATCCAAATTGTGTGTAATAGAGTTCGTAATTGCTGAAAACTGGTCTCCATCACTCATCTGCACTTAAATTTCGATTTAAATCTTTCGTGACTGCAGGGATTCATCTTCTTGGTTCTTTCGGTAAAGTCACGTAGAAGGGAAATAATAAAATAATAAAAATAAAACATATATAGTACGGGGTAGACCCATGTGATGTAAGAGGAAAAAGTTTAGCTGGAGGCATATTATATTTTTTGCGACATAGAATTGTAATGTATGACTTACTGTTAGTAGCTCAGCTTATTGGAGAGTATATTTAGTATATTGATGATACTGATGTAGTTTATATTTTAGTTTCTTACGTGGTGGTTTAACTGCTGCAGCTCCATACTATTAACATTCCTTCCCTTTATTAATGCTAACCCTACTCCCTCCCTTTGATGCTGCTAATCCTGCATAATGCACGGGCATAATGACTTTGAAAACCCCCCGCCCACCTCCTACGCATTTCACAAGTAGTGACTAATCCCATATCTGCATTTACCATAAATATGCTAATTTCCTCTTGATATGCAAATTCCTTTATCAAGGCGCTCTTCCCCCTCCAACCCAGCTTAAATATACGCTTCCAAGCCTGGTGGTGTTCATTCAGACACTGTCTTTCCGACAGACCTGTTCTTCACCTGAGGACGGCTGCTTGCGTTGTGGCCGAAACGTCGTGAGAATTATTTTATTATGTTTACTTTTTATTATTTTATTATTTCCCTTCTACGTGACTTTACTGAAAGAACCAAGATAATCTGCACTTATTTTGCTCGCCCTGTATTTCCCTCGTATATATAACATTGATGATCTGTAACTTGCTTTATTATGACCATCACAGCTGATAGACTGAATCAAAACTAGCACCACACCTAGTCACCTTTGGCCATCATGACAAATAAAGAATTTGAGACCAGGATCACACCTCTGTGTCCCAAGCATTGTTTCTAAGCCCGATAATAAGAATTATTTGTTTTTGATAGAGTGCCCTTCATGTCGGGGCCTCTCAAGAGTGCTTTACATTTGTAGTGACTGTGTATGTGACTCTGTGGTGCCGGGCTTACGAAGGCACGGCGGATAATGTGTTGGCAATATGCGTAGCCCGCTTACTGGGTGTAGTACCAGCCCTAGCGGGGCTTGGGTGAGCACTGGTCAGCGCGGAGGCACCACGTACAGTGTGCGGTGCGGGCTCCCGGTGAGGGAGCGAGAGGGAGTGTCAGCCAGCCAGGGTTACGTTGGGGCATGATAAGCTGGTTGACCTGCCGACACGTGACCGGATGATATTGGAGAGGGGCCACCGGTGGACGGGGGCCGCTGGGCGGTCACTTGGAATAAAAGAGCTCTCGGGAACCTTCGGGGATAAAGGTCGAGAGATCTAGAAGGTGGGCGGGGCGAGGAGCGGAGCCAGCACCAGCCCGGGCGGATATAATGGGGGCCCCATGAGGGGCTCGGGGTTCTTCATGTTGCTGGTGAAGAAGATCCAAATCGGGTAAAAGAAGCCTCTAGCCACGCGGTCCGGGACCCAGCTCGTGGTCCGGGCCGGGATAGCGAACTGTGTCTAGTTCTGCCGTAGCGTGTCTAGATGGGCATTCAACACGCAAGCATAGGTTATGTTATGTTGAAGTTACTGGAATAAATAGTGTTGCTCCAAAGACAACGTCTGTGACTCAGTTGGACTCACTACACATGCGATTATCAACTTACATCAATCACACCTCATCTCAAACATTTTAAAAAGGGCAGCTGTTCCTGTGGACACAAGGTGACTCAGGATCTGGTGTACAATCGGGTATTAGTCTGTCAGTAAAGGGCAAGGTTAATCTGTAATCCCAGATGAGTAATTTAAGGGTAACTTTTGGAATTTGTATACATTTGGACCAAGATGCCGATACAACAGCATCAAGGCACCTTTGACATTCACTGTGAAGCAGACGGCGTGTATTCTTATGTTAATAAACCCGCAGTATTAACCAGGGTGGGCTTCGGACCTGAACCACAATGTCATCATGAGCCAGACATCACACAAGCCCAGTGCAACCCACCGCAGCACCCACCCTGTAGAGACAGCCGAGCGGGGAGTACGGGCAGGTGTCGCGATTCTTCATGCACCTCCGCTCCTCGTGGTGCTGCCACTGTCCACACCAAACATATTGTCATCAAGAACCTCGAACACCCAATAAATGGTCATCGCAAGGGTAGACCGTACAAGCGTGTGCACAAGCGTTTAAGGTTCAACTTTCTGGACCATTATTCTGACTAGCTGCATCTTGTCTCGATGCTTGACACAGTCTCAAGTGAATTGTCATACCTAAATGCAAAATTAGGCTGTGAAATTTGCTCTTCGACTTACCGGTGAGCTGAAAGAATAATTGGCGCGTCATTAAACTCATGTACACGTGACTATTTAATTTGTCCGTGATGGGTTGTGGAGGGTTAACGACACAAAATTTGTATAGATTACATGGCATAACTAAAAAAGTAAATTATGAATTATATTGGCTGTAAAAACATAAATTAAATTAGTAGTTAGGAAAGCATATCACTGTCAAGGGGCCACGTCAGTACCAGTGAGTTATATGTCTTTTTTAATGTTTAGGTTAATGCAAATACATTTCAGGTGTGTATGGTTCAAGCCTAATGGGACAATCACGTTGGGTCTGATCAGACCGAGTTTGACTTGAACTCATCGGGTCAAGCCTTATAAAAATCCAAATCCTTGTGGACAAGGACCTCAATGGGTCTGGATTTTAACTCATGGACAGTATCCTTTAATGCAAATGTGGACTTCTTAAAACATAAATCCCATTGTAAGTCAAGCTTGTGCTGAATAGGTTCGGGGGGGCAGAGGCAGTAGCGGGATAGGTGGCACACTTAGGTACGTCTGATGACATGGGAAGGTTATTTGTTCAATACCTAAATTCTAAAACACACGTGGGTTTTAACATAAACTAAAATCTAAATTGCCACTCCAGCCACATATCTAGCCTGTAACCATTCGGACAAAACCTAGTGTTCTACCCCTCTTGGTCAATGGAGAGACGCACTATATGATGGCTTAAATGTATTTGGCCAAAAATCACAAGATAGGATCAAGGAGCCAAGCCAATTGTTGGTACCAGATTCTGGTTGTTTTCCCACTCGTGTGTGGTTTTTTGCACCTCTGTGCGCATTACATATTCTGCAGCATTTTTTAGATTCAATTGGCATGAATTCTTTCTAGCGTTGTTCCCGCTGTGGCGCAGGGTCCGCTTTTCGGCATTGTCGTCTCCATTTGGCTCGGTCCAGGGCATCTTCAGGGGATGCGTTGACCGTCTTCATGTCTTCCTTTATTCGGTCCATCCATCGCTTCTTCGGACGTCCGCGTGGACGGCGGCCCTCTGACTCAATACGCATGGCAGTCTTGGCCACTGATGACTCTTCATTTCGCATCACATGGCCGTACCACCGAAGCCTTGCCTCAAGCATCTTGTCCGCAATGGGGGCCACACCAAGTCGCTTCCGAACGTCTTCGTTCCTGACACGATCCCATCGAGTGAGCCCGAGGCTCCATCTGAGCATCCTCATCTCCATGGTGTGGAGAGCTTGTTCGTGCACAGTTGTGGCTGGCCAGCACTCGGATCCATAGAGTGCCACCGGTCGGACGATGGTCTTGTATATTTTTCCCTTTAGCCTATCCGGCATTTTCCGATCACAGAGGACTCCGGTGACTTGCTTCCATTTCATCCACGCCGCATTGACTCGTGACCTCACATCAGTCGTGATGCTACCATCTGAGCTGATGGTGGAGCCCAGGTACTTAAAGTCCGTCACTTTCTTCAGATCTTCTCCGTCAATACTGATGGTGCCGTCGGTTTGGGGGCCACACTCCATATACTCCGTCTTTTTGATGTTGAACCTCATCCCGTTTTCGTCCAAACGTTCCTTCCACAGGCGCGTTTGTCTTTCCACTTCTCCTCTCTCTTCATCTGAGAGGAGGACGTCATCCGCGTAGAGAATTGACCATGGAAGGGGCGTGTGCAGGTCGGCAGTGATCGTGTCCATGCACAGGATAAACAGGAGTGGTGACAGGGCCGATCCTTGGTGCACTCCAACGCTGATGGGAAATGGCGGTGATATGCCCACTGCACACCTGACTGCACTGGTGACGTTCTTGTATAGGAGTTGCAGCCAATGCACGTAGGTTTCAGGGACTCCATGGGATCGAAGCGAGTGCCAGATGAGGTCGTGGGGGACCCTGTCAAATGCCTTTTCAAGGTCGAGGAACGACACGTGCACAGCTTTGTTCTTCTCTCTGTGCCTCTCCAGCAGGAGCCTCGCTGCGAATATGGCGTCCGTACTGCCACATCCTTTGACGAAGCCGCATTGGTTGGGTGATAGGGTGATGATGTTTCTAATCCACGTGTCCAAAACTCGCTCAAAGATCTTCATTGCATGACACAGGAGCCTGATTGGCCTGTAATTCGAGCATTCTGCCACGTCCCCTTTACCCTTCCAAATTGGAACCGTCGTGCTGGTCGACCAGGCTTCTGGGACCTCACTGGTGCTCGTGATGGTGCTGAAGAGCTGGGTAAGGAGGGCAGCACCCTGCCTGCCAAGGATCTTCCAGGCCTCAGCAGGGATATCGTCCGGGCCAGTCGCTTTCCCATTCTTTATTGCCAGAACATGTAAAACCTATTCTTATTATAAATAATTTATTATAATTATGTTCGGGTACTACAGATTTCTAACAGTGAAATATGTATTAAAAACATACCATGACTGTCATGTAATGATGCTTGCCATGATTGTAAAATTCAACAATACACCAGACAGGGCCAACCTTGGATTACAGCACTGTGAGATCCTTGACAGGGATTACGGATTGGGCTACTCCTCGAAGCATTCTCTCATCTGCAACTCCTCTACATCACCACAGAAATGTGTGTGTGGATTAATGTGTATGCATGTGTGTGGTGGTACAAGAAGTGAAAAAGCAGTGATTAGCATGCTGTGCTATATACCCGGCGACCCGAGTTCGATTTCTGCTCATGGCCAACATCACCTATAAATATAAATTAGTACCAGGTGCAAGGGATAAACATCAGCAATGGTGGCTGAGCTTGATGCTAGCCAAACCACCCCCTTGTGCCATGTTGGCCTTTATTCGCTCACCAACAGTACTTACCCCGACATCCTGCGAAGACATTAGAGAGATCTTTGTATGTGTGGCACCTAGCTTAGCACAGCCGCTATGGTGATGCCGCTTTGTGGCAAATTGCGGCCGTTTTATGCGCATTATATGATCGTCATTCAGTGCAGTCTGCGTTTTAATTTCATTTCACAAACCTTGTCTTCTGGTATTGCTTTCTGGCCACACAATTTGCATTCACGAGTCCTTCTGGAACAGCAGTGCAGTTGATGTTTCTGAATAATAACCAATATCAAAAACACAAATAATTAAATACAAGGTCACCTTAACTCCGTCCATTACGCTTGTTTACACAGTAGAGGGCGATGTTAATATGTGTAATCCCAATTGAGTAATTTTTAATTGAGTAACTTTCATCATTGTGATATTTTGCTAATACCAGTCACATTGTGTTTGCTTATTTTAGTTGTGGAAGGAAAACGGAGAACCGAGAGGAAACCCATTCTGAACATAGAAAGAACATACAAACTCCATGCAGAAAGGCACCCCAGTCAGGAATCAAACCCAGGCCCATCTTGCTGTGAGGCACGGGTGTTACCACGGTGCCTCCCAACTGCCCCACAGGCACATTTCCAGTACACACAGAACACCACACACCTCCACCCCCAGTTCGTAGTCATCTGTTTGGAGTCTGAATGTCTCTCCCCGTGGTCGCGTGTATTTTTCCAAGTTTTTGGAAACATGCGTTTTAGAGTATTTGGTTGCTATACATTTCCACACGATAAGTCACTTCGTTGAGCTATCATTTTTGGCCAGGTCACTTCTAAAAAAGAGCTATATAGCTCTGTAGGCCTTATCTGGTAACATAAAAATTAGTTCAATTTATAGTTTAGAATCTGCACAGTGAGCACCTGCAGCTGTCGGTAAGGCAGGAGCTGCGCACACGCGGCGCACGGCACAGGCCGCACAGAACACTCCTGGGCGACGTGACGGTGCAGTTCCGCGCGGGGCAGCAGCAAGGCACAGCCCGCCAGCAGGCACGGCACCAGCACCCAGTCACAGCGCTCCACGTGGGCCTGCGGGAAAAACATACGGCGTCACTCGCACAGGGGTGCAGAGGTGTGGGTGCGCTGTGTGTATTAGCCTGTACGTGCATGTATACTGGCCTGTGCGTGTGTACTATTGGCCTGTGCGCGTGTATGTGTACTGGCCCTGTGTGTGTGTGCGTCGCCTCAGCCTGAATTGAGTACCTAGTGCGGTGTAAAAACATTGCCACGAGGGAGACAAAGGCGGCCGGGCGTGGTGCTGGCTACCCACCCCCTTATGTGCCGTTCTGGCCTTCATAGGTGCTCGCTAACAGCACTTTCCTGAACAGTCTGTTAAGGCCATACTCGAGGATCTGTCTTTGTTTGTGTAAAGTTGCGTGTGTAATGTGTGCATGTTCCTTACATCATATTCCAGGAGCAGGCCTCTCCATTCACAGCCCTCACTCACACATCTGACCGGCAATACGCCCATCTCTCTACGCAGAGCCGCATCTGGAAAAAACTGAGTTGGGAAGTAAACCAAAAAAATGTAATTCATTAAAGTGCATTGCAAGACTAAATTATCAGCTTAAAATATCAAGTGAGCTGGTTGTGGTGGGTGCACACCTGTAATCTGCATAGGCAGCGCTACTAGACAAACAACAGCATTCGCACTCTATGAAGCAGCGTGCCACTTATTGTCATAACAGTTAACTTTTTTTTTACTTCCAACAAAGGTCATACATAGGTCATATAGGGTGGGCAGGTTGGCGGAGTGGTAACACTTGTGCCTCAATTCAAGGGTCTAGGTTTAGAATCCCAACTGGGTTGCATTTCTGTGTTGAGTTTGTATGTTCTCCCCCTGTTCTGTATGGGTTCTCCGGTTTCCTCTCATAGCTAGAATAAACCCTACAATGTAAGTGGCATTGGCCAAACATCCCCATGCTGAAAATGTATCTATAATTGACTCAATTGGGACTACACACAACATTGTACCCTACTATAAAAATTTGGCAGGACCCTCCTGAACAAGTCCTGACACTCATTGAGTCTATTTGGATAATTCAAAGTGCTCGCTAAGAGACATCACCTTCCTGTTTCTTTTCACCAGATTCACTACTACTTAATTTTCTACGCTTGTCAGTGTGTGTTGTTGAAGGTAGGAAGAGCGCAGAACAATGCATTTATTACGCCTGCTCTTTGTGCGTGTCGGTCACTCATCCAAGCATTACCCAGACTCTAACCATGCTTAGTTTCCTAGATCTGATAAGACTGGGTGCATGCAGGGTTATCTGATCGTTGGCAAATGGCGACAATGAGGGGTTTTGTTGCATGAGAGTGATGGGCGTGAGGCACATTTGTCAAAGACACAAAGAGTCACCCACGCTATTTAGTGACAGAACACTCTCCGTGGTCACTGCGTTCTCATCTTGGCAAAGTGGGCACAGCGGGTTTACGTTTTGCCTGTAAAGAGATGCACACAAAACACAATCAAATGGGTATATGTGTACTAGTACACTTTAGAACGATACTGTCTTTTTAACATGTAGGCATTAGCGTACCAATATTATCCAGAGATAGAGGTGTTTTTTGGTTTAGATCATGTAAAAAAATAGATATCCATTGTAATTTATGCAAATACATTAACCCCCCTTCTGGGTTTTGCACCTGATTGGGTCACAAGTGACGGCATCACATGTATCTCTCTATTTTAGACTGAAACAAAAGGATGTCTCCACAACTCTGGCTGTTGCCTGATGAGGGTGGTAGTTATGACCGGCGAAACATCGTATAGTCATACCTCGGTATACGACCGATTTGGAATACGTCAAATTTGGTATACGTCGTGTTTTGACGATAAAAAATGTCTTGGGATACGACGTCTTGCTTGGGATACGACGCGCTTGCTAGAACTTGTATGGGTCAGGATGAGTCACCGCGTACCCGTGTATACCCCGTTCACGACTGAAACAAAGCGCCGCTCCTCAGTCTGCCTGTAGATCTCGTTCAGTGCACAACCCTTGCTATAACTCTATGTGAATTTTCACTTGTTTTTTTGTCATTTTAACTCCTCTCAGCAAGGTAAAGTGACGTAATTTTTTTTTCAAATTTTTTCTATTTATTTATGCATTTATTTTAATTTATGTATGTATTTTAGTCATAAGTCGTGTCTAAATAATTTAATACAACCCCATTAATGTATAATATGCCATATAAAATAGAATTTTTTATACTCTGGAACGGATTATTTCCTTTCCCTTTATTTCTTATGGGAAAAATTTGTTTGGTATACGTCATTTTCGGTAACAGGACCCTGCGGGGTGGGCTGGTAGGAATAATACTTAGTACTGGTACAGGGATATCGACCGGGTATAGAGGAGTTAAAGAAAAAATTACTGTACTCTAGTGTAACGTTAATTAAAAGTGTTTGTTTTGACAAGAAACGCTTAGCGAAGCCTTCTGCACTAGGCCTCGCGAAGCCTGCCGCACTAGGCCTCACGAAGCCTGCTGCACTAGGCCTCGTGAAGCCTTCTCTGCAGTAGACTTAGCGAAGCCTTCTGCACTAGGCCTCGCGAAGCCTGCCGCACTAGGCCTCGCAAAGCCTGCTGCACTAGGCCTCGCGAAGCCTTCTCTGCAGTAGATTTAGCGAAGCCTTCTGCACTAGGCCTCGCGAAGCCTGCCGCACTAGGCCTCGCGAAGCCTGCCGCACTAGGCTTCGCGAAGTCTTCTCTGCAGTAGACTTAGCGAAGCCTTCTGCACTAGGCCTCGCGAAGCCTGCCGCACTAGACCTCGCGAAGCCTGCTGCACTAGGCCTCGCGAAGCCTTCTCTGCAGTAGACTTAGCGAAGCCTTCTGCACTAGGCCTCGCGAAGCCGCGCTTTTCGTGCACAAATAAGGCGATTAAATGTATCTCGTCTCTGTGTTAATAAGCCTGCCGCACTAGGCCTCGCGAAGCCTGCCGCACTAGGCCTCGCGCCGTGCTTTTCGTGCACAAATAAGGCGATTAAATGTATCTCGTCTCTGTGTTAATAAATGTATCTTGTCTCTGTGTTAAAAAAACGTGCTGCGTTTCAGTAAAGTAATTAAAAAAAAAAACGTGCTGCGTTTCAGTAAAGTAAATTTGAAGCGAAGTTTAAAGTTTCGCCGTGAGGCGCCGGAAGCGACGGCCATCTTGTTTAGTTGACAGATCGCAGGGGGAGCGGGCGGCCATCTTGTCGGACAGGGTCATGCCAAGTGTTTGCAGTAGGGGGCGATGTTGATACACGGACGGACGGACGGACGGACACATTAATCTATTGGTGGTCTGGTCCACTTCGTTCCTACCAGTATAAGTCCTACCTTCTGGAACGAATTAACGACGTATACCAAGGTACCACTGGACTTGAATTGTAAATGTTGTGGGTTTATTCTCCAACACACCGGTGTGCTGAACTAATAACGAATTGGCATGTTTTGTTTACGTGACAAACCTTACTAATTGGCTGTGTCGAGTGGTGGCGGGTTTAACAACAGATTTATATTTACATGATCTAACCCAAAAAAAAACCTCTATTTTGAATACTGTCTTTCAAATGAAATAATTTACACATTTCGCATTTGTGCCATTCTTATAGTGCTTCACAATCAGTCTGCAGTAGTTTCAGAGCGGGAGGCAGTGTTGCTCTGTGTAATCCCACTTGAGTGATTTTCCAGGTAATTTTTTTAATTCATGAACTTTGGATCGTGACTGACACACAATGGCCTACTTGTTTCAAATTACGTCACATGATCTTTAACATTCACTGTGCAGCAGAGTGCACATATATTATGGCGAGTACACCCCCAGTAATAACTAAGACGGCCTGCCACATTAGAACTGCGAGCCTCTGCAACAAGCAGCAAACACGCTACGCTAGGCCATGTCGCTGCCCTACTCTGTCAAATAGGTTTTATAAGTCAAGGTAAGCAACGTGATTACTAATGGATAGGAATAAAATGCGACTTTTGGAAATGTGTTTACAGTCCTCAAACAGGTATACGCATACATAGAATCCACCGACTCAAAACAACCCACACTAAATCCCATGCAGGTCTTTTGAATGTTTGAGTCCTTTCTCAATCGACCGCTGGATGATGGCCACCCCAAGTTGTGTTGGTTGTGGGATTGTTTTACCATACCTCCCCAGTCTGATAGTGCGAGTTGTTGAAGGGGTAGGTGCCCAGGGCTAGTTATCACTTGCTATGCATGTTGACTGTGAACAGGAATCGAATCTAAGGCTAAAATAGTGCAAATATTCATATTGGTTTAAAAGATAATTTACGTGAATTTGAGGGGGCACTGCTGTGGCGAGATGTTAAATACCCCACACGGTATACGGGAGGTCGTGGGTTCGATCCCAACCCTGACGCCTACTGTATATTTGGAGATTTTTAACTGGGTCCTCCGGTTTTTTGCTCCATATTGAGAAACATACGCATAGAGTATTTGGCTGCTATACTTTTTCAAATGATAAGCCACTGAGCTATCATTAGTGACAGCCAGGTCGCTTATGAAAAATAGCTACTGTATATAGCTCAGTGGGCCTTATCTGGTAATATAAAAAGTAGTTGTGTGCCTGCGACCAAAATCCAGCGTGCTAACCCACCTGTTTGTACCACATTTTACATTTCACCGAGTTTCCAAGGTTGTGGATAAGGAAAAGACCCCCGTATAGCCTTAACAGATTGTTGGGGCAAGTGCTGTTAGCGAGCACCTATGAAGGCTGGAATGGCACATGAGGGGGTGGGTTGCCAGTACCACGCCCGACTGCCTTTGTCTCCCCAGTGGCGATGTTTACACACTGCACCAGGTACTCATCTGAGGCCGTGTCGACCTAGGTGGAGGCCCTGGACCGGTTCCAAAAATAGCCGCTGGTGTTGGCCGTGAGCGGAAATCGAACTCGAGTCGCCGCTACACTACTGCTCCCCACAGTAGCATACAGACGCACACCAGTATTGATATACCCTTAGCAGTGCCTACCTTATTACAGACCAATTCAGACCTTGTTGGTCACAACGTGTCTCAACTTTCATCGTACAAAGTCCCATCACCAATAGACAAAAACATGTTCCTGTATTGAAACGGCTACACGCCGTATGGACCTCAAAACTATATTTCCCTGTACAAGAATATGGGGTAAACCGTGTGGATTGAGACGCATCGATGTTACTGACGTGATCAAGCGAGCTATGCAGGGCCTGCAGAAGCGGTGTCCGCAGTGGGTCTGCACGGCGTCGCGGAGGAGGCCCTCGCAGGAGCCGCACGCGAACCGCGCGGCCGCTCCAGGCGCGCCCCCGCCGGGGCGAGCGAGCAGGGCGCGAGGGTAGCCGCACATCGCTCGCTCGCCTGGGCTCCTGCCCTCGGCCATGCCGTGCGCATCCTAGAATGGGGAGGGGGAAAAAACCACGTGAAAGGGTGAAACGTCGTCGTCGACGTCCTTCTACACCGGTTGTTGTTCACCAGAGGTGCGCGTCACCCTGGGAAGTGCTTCTTGTGAACTGTTACAGATAATAGGATTGTTATTTTTGACTTCACAAAACACCACGTGTGTGGTTTTTAATGTACATTGAAAAAACAAACTATTTAGACCGCATTCGTGCCTCTCACCAACAGAGCTGGCTGACTGAATCAGCAGATTGCTGGCACGGGTTTACTGATGCTGGAGAGTCTCCAAACATGTTGGGGGAGCCACCCTTCTACATTGCACCAATCCGCATGATATCAAATATTGACACCTCCGATGAGCACGGGTGGCTACGTGTAGCCTGTGACAGGCTATTTGGGGCAAGTGCTGTTATCGAGCAGCACCTGTGAAGGCCGGCATGGCACACGAGGGGGTGGGTGGCCGGCATCACGCCGGGCCGCCTTTGTCTCCCCAGTGGCGATGTTTACTACACACCGCATCAGGTACTCATTTGAGGCTGAGTCGACCAGGGGAAGAGGCCCACGACTGGTTCGGATAATCGTGACCGGTGTTGGCCGTGAGCAGGAATCGTCGGGTTCGTAGCGCAACGCGCTGCTGCTCCACCACCGCTCCCCGTTCAACAAAGACACAGAGACACTCACAGACGATCAATACGTTAACTCGAGCGAATTTTGGACAGCAGTGGCCCTCCACGGCCGCGCACGGGACTCGCAATTCCAGACGACGTCGCCGGCTCCATCTCCCGGCGCGGCAGCTGAGACCACCACCCCCCCCCAACACCACCCCCCCACCATCACCCCACCCCCCGAAACCACCACCCCCCCCCACCACCCACCACCACCCCCCCACTCCCCCCACCACCCCCCCACCACCACCACCCCCCCCCACTCCCCCCACCACCACCCCCCCCCACTCCCCCCACCACCACCCCCCCCCACTCCCCCCACCACCCCCACCACCACTCCCCCCACCACCACCCCCCCCCCCACTCCCCCCACCACCACCCCCCCCCCCCACTCCCCCCCACCACCCCCACCACCACTCCCCCCACCACCACCCCCCCACTCCCCCCACCACCACCCCCCCCCCACTCCCCCCACCACCACCACCCCCCCCCACTCCCCCCACCACCACCATACAGCGGGTAGAGGTGGCAGGACGCGTGCGGTCTGCCACCGATACTCGCGTGTCCATCGGCGTATTCGTTACCGAGTATCCACTGGTGAACCGTCCCAGATTCCCTCAACCCCGCGCCGCTGTCGGAGCCGGTAACAGGTTCTCTAAACGGTTACCGGTTCTTCCAAACAGTTACCGGTTTTCGCGGCAGGTTTTTTATTATCTCGGACCCCCGACAGGAGCGCTCGGGCACGGACCCCGGAAGCGGAAGCCGCGAGGCGGCGCCCACGTGGCCCGGCAGGAGCTGCAGCAGCGGAGGGTCGCGGTCTCTCCACTGCTGGATGGAGTCCGCCTCCCACACGTCTCGCCGCCTCCTGGCAGCTGCGTCCATGGCTGAGCTTCACCTCCGTTTCCCAACCTTTGGCTGCCGCTTCGTCGCTGCGTCTCGGCCACCGTCCGAGGCGTGAGGCGACCTCTGCGCTCCGACTCGAATCCACGACTCGCTCGTTCGCATTGCCTGCCTCGGCACGGCTCTAGGCGTCCGTCTCTCTCTCTCTCTACAGCAAGGGTCTTCGTTGCAAGGCCCGCGAGCCACTGGCGGCCCCTGGTGGCCTTTAGTGGGGCCCCCGACAATATTCAGCACGTGAAAAACACCACCCCATCATCATCATCCTGCTGCTGCTGTCAAACCCCAACAATGGTTTCAAATGTGGTGGTGAAAGTGGCCGCCCTCAGAGCATGAGTGAAGAACACCGCTCTCGACTGCGCATTTCTCAGCAGTGCTGGGACCATTGGTCGAGTCTTCGACTACAGATTGCAATCAAAGTTTTATTTTTTTTACGGTCGATTGCTCGGGGCCCCTCGAAGATGAATAATGTTCGTCACCATTTAAGTATTTTCTTAGGCCTAGCGTAACATGGTTGGCGACGTCACCAATCCCCGCCCAGCACCTCCCGTCCAGCGGCACGCGGGAACTGTGAATGTGCGCAGGGCCTAAGTGCATTATTTACAAAACGGGACAAAAGCGAGGGTCGAGGGGACCCGGGGCAGCAACCCTTACTAATTGGCTGTATCGGGTGGTGGTGGGTTTAACGACACGTTTACGCGATCTAAACAAAAACAACTATTATAACATGGTGCGACAGAAAAGTTACCATTTTATGGGATTTACTTAAAGTTACCATAGTATTGAGTTAAAAGCAGTTCCCATGGTATGACTAACTCGGTCAAGGGGCGAGTGTATTCGAGTGTGAAGTGTGCACGCTCGCCTCGTGAACACTGCTGCCGCAAGCGGCGTGGTCAGCGCGAGGAGCGAGTGAAACGGGAACAGACAGCCGGGTGAACGTGTGACTCGTGAACTCTGGTGCCGCAAGCGAGAACAGACAACCGGGTGAACGTGTGACTCGTGAACTCTGGTGCCGCAAGCGAGAACAGACAACCGGGTGAACGTGTGACTCGTGAACACTGGTGCCGCAAGCGAGAACAGACAACCGGGTGAACGTGTGACTCGTGAACACTGGTGCCGCAAGCGAGAACAGACAACCGGGTGAACGTGTGACTCGTGAACACTGGTGCCGCAAGCGAGAACAGACAACCGGGTGAACGTGTGACTCGTGAACACTGGTGCCGCAAGCGAGAACAGACAACCGGGTGAACGTGTGACTCGTGAACACTGGTGCCGCAAGCGAGAACAGACAACCGGGTGAACGTGTGACTCGTGAACACTGGTGCCGCAAGCGAGAACAGACAACCGGGTGAACGTGTGACTCGTGAACACTGGTGCCGCAAGCGAGAACAGACAACCGGGTGAACGTGTGACTCGTGAACACTGGTGCCGCAAGCGAGAACAGACAACCGGGTGAACGTGTGACTCGTGAACACTGGTGCCGCAAGCGAGAACAGACAACCGGGTGAACGTGTGACTCGTGAACACTGGTGCCGCAAGCGAGAACAGACAACCGGGTGAACGTGTGACTCGTGAACACTGGTGCCGCAAGCGAGAACAGACAACCGGGTGAACGTGTGACTCGTGAACACTGGTGCCGCAAGCAAGAACAGGCAACCGGGTGAACGTGTGACTCGTGAACACTGGTGCCGCAAGCAAGAACAGGCAACCGGGTGAACGTGTGACTCGTGAACACTGGTGCCGCAAGCGAGAACAGACAACCGGGTGAACGTGTGACTCGTGAACACTGGTGCCGCAAGCAAGAACAGGCAACCGGGTGAACGTGTGACTCGTGAACACTGGTGCCGCAAGCGAGAACAGACAACCGGGTGAACGTGTGACTCGTGAACCAGGGGGCAAGGGCTCTGTTAGGCGCGCTGTCACAGGATACAATTAATCCGTGACAAAATGATAAATTATGGTCAAGTTCGGCTATGATATTTTGAAAGCATGTGCCTGTTAGAGCATTGATCAAGCTTTGTATCGTATATGTAGGGCTGTTACAGAAGGGCTGTTTGTGTAGGGCTGTTTGCATAGGGGCTAACGGATAACAAACACAGTGGGCGGGGACTCCGTGAGCACACGGGGTGGTGCCCGCAACGACGTCCGTACTGGACGGCGTGAGGGGGGTTTCGATCCTCTAGGGGGGTATAAAAAGGGTTGAGCCAGAGAGCTCGGGGCTCAGTCTTAGTGTAGTTAAGGGAAGAGAGAAGACCGGCCAGATAGGCCCTGGACTCCCCCTGGGACGCCGCCCTTGTAAGGGCAGTGCAGGCTGGAGCCAGTGGCGTGGTCCCGGAACCAGAGTCAGACCTCTGGGATTCCGGGTACCGTAGCCCGACTGACCAGTGTCGGGCCAGACAGCCTCCCCTAGCCCGTTAGCGGAGGACTCGGCTAGGAAGGCTAGCTAGGGGTGAATTCCCAGTTGTACGGGTGAGGGGGCCGATACATCCCTCCAGTATTGTAAGACATTGTGCAAATAAATACGTGTGCCTTACCCCGTTGTCCACGCGTCTTCAAGAACACTTCATCTGGCGTCAGAAGAACCAAGAACATGGACACGCGCCAAACAGCTCGAGCCAGGGAACAGCAAACGGAAGACGCCGCCGAAATTGTCGAGCCCGAGATGGCTCAACAAGACGACGTGCAGCCGGGGCCGGACGCGTTCTTGCCGGAGCGTCGCCATGAAGAGGAGCAGCGGACAGACCACCTGAGGCTGGCTCACGAGAGGCTGGCGGAACTGCTCTACGCCGCTGCCGCTACGCTGGAGAACATCACACGGCTGGGGGCTGGTGGTCCACCGCGGGGCGAGGGGAACCGGCGTCCGGAGCGCCTTCCCGCCATTTCTGAAGATTCAAATTTTGAATTTCCCGCCATCGACGCGGCGACCGCTAGGGGCGTGGCCAACCTCAACCTGGGGTCCGACATCGGCCGCGCTGGGGCTGCCGCATCAACGACGGAGGAGGGCGCGTCATCAAAGCTGCGACAGGCGATGCCATCTGCCGTTCGCGCCGAGACGCAGCCGGGTCGGGGAGACAGCAGCCCACGGGACTCCACGGCAACTGCTGCGCTGCATCAAAGGCTGCCCCCGCTTAAAGAATTCGTGGGCGCAGAGGGCGACTGGAGCGGCTTCCGAAGACGCTTCCTCGCCCACCAAGAAATGGCTAAATGGACAGACGCAGAAGCTCTCAGCGCCCTGCCGGCGCTCCTGGACGGCGACGCGCTTGCCGCCCTAACATCGGCACCGAAGGAAAGGCGCTCTACGTTACCAATGGCGCTGCAGCTGCTGGGAGGGGTCTACGGACCATCGGCGGAATGCAGACAGGAGTTCTACGACCGCAAGCGGGGAGAAAAGGAGTCGCCCCTGGCGTACCGAACGAGCCTCCTGGCGATGGCCAAGTCGGCCTTCCCCCGTATGGATGACGACGGCATCGACGCTATGGTGACGGAGAAAATACTCCTCCTGGCTGACGATCTTGACATCGCTGTCGTCGCACAGGAGGACGCGGAAATGACATCGCTCCAGGCGGCGTGGCTCCTCCACGCAAACCTCCTGTCGCTCCGGCGAAAAGCCAGCAGGGCATCGGCGGGGCGTGCGGTGGCTGCAGCCACCCTTCCGACGGAGGAACTCTACGCCGTCGACCACCGACGGCAACAGGCGACGAGTGCACGGCCGGGCCAGGACGGGTCGGGCCGTTCCGACCATTCGTCACCTCCGACGTCGCTCCCGCGGTGCTTTAACTGCGGCGTCCGGGGCCACGTCGCCTCGGGGTGCCGCTCTCCTCGTCAGCGCGGGACGACACCTCACCGGGACGACGGGCCTCATCCCAAGCTCCACCATCAAAAACCGGCGAGTCGCGGCACCCCACACGTTTGGCCCACACACACACCCGTCACGCACTCAAACTCCGCGACGAGAGGGGGGCCGGTATCACGCACCATCGCACCATCACGCACCACTCCGGGTACCCATATCGAACCCGGCCAGTGGTCCGTGCTGGCCGATCGTGTGGTTGCCGCATCGTCGGGGTCGTCGGCCGTTGTGGGGTATATCGACGGGGTTGAAGTGCGCATCCTGGTCGATACGGGAGCATCGGCGACTATTATTTCGGAATTAATTTATAATATTCTCCCTGTCCGGAGTCGTCCCTTGATGCCAGTTAACATACCATTCTATGCGGCTAACGGGGGCTCACTTGGCATCATCGGACAAATTCGTGCCCAAATTTGTATCGGGGAAATAAAATTGTCTGGGCCGATTTTTGTTTCTTCCTCGCTGGCGGTTCCGTGCCTGCTGGGGACGGACTTCCTGGCCAAAATGCCGATTGTAATTTTGATCGACCAGGGGTGCATAGAGCTTCCATCGGGCAGACGCATGGCGTTTCTGCCATCGCCGGTTGCGACTCGGACGGCGTTCGCGACGGTGCCGGCGCTCGTGGAAAGAACGGTACGCGTTCCTCCGGGGACGCAAATGCTGGTACCCTTGAAACTTCGGCGGCCCCTCGTTAAGGGTGCTGGGGCACAAGGGGTACTGTTGGGACCGTCTAGGGCCGGGGTTAGTGGACCTGACTTACTACCGGCCCAGACCATAGTGAGAGGGGATGGTGAACCCTTCATCGCGGTCCTAAATGTGGGCTCGCGGACGGTGGTGATCCCACAGGGGACCGTGCTTGCTCACGCAACGCCGGTGCCGTGTGAGGAACCCGCCGTAAATTGCGTCAACACTGTCCCTGCGTCGCGACCGCATTCGGACAGCGATGAAGGGTGGCTCGAGGCGCTTTGTGCGGGATCGACGGACCTGTCCGATTCAGAGCGTCAACAACTTAAAACATTACTGCGAGAATTTTCCGACGTTTTTAGTCGAAATAAATATGATTTGGGTTGCACTCACTTGCTGCGTCACCATATTGACACGGGTGACAGCGCGCCAATTCGCCAAAATCCGTTTCGGTTGAGTCCCGCCGAAAAGGACCATGTCAAATCGGCTGTTGATGACATGTTGGCCGCGGACATCATTTCTCCTTCCACCAGCCCTTGGGGAGCGCCGATCGTCCTGGTTAAAAAGCAGGACGGTTCGTTGCGGTTTTGCGTTGA